TTACATGGCACACCAGTGAGTTGCCATTCCCTGCAACAGCAAGTTCTGCGATGAAGATTGACAATACATTTGAAGGTATTTTCCTCTGTTACCTCGTAGAAGTCACCACCTGGCCAGATCAATTGACATGTTCCTACTTTTTCAATAACTAAATTCAACTTGTTTATGATTTTTGGGACTGCAGAATTATCCCAAGTAGCAGATTTCTGAAATCTTTTAGAGAATTTGCTCATAAGCTTAGTTCTTATACCCTCAAACATAGCAGTTATAGGTTTTGCCCTCACCTTCTTAAGCCATGAGTTTAATGACTCAACTGCATTATTTGTCAGAAAATCACACTTCTGTCTCTCATCAAACCTATGCCTTGCCCATGTTTCAAGTGGAAGGTTCATCAACCACTGCCATGCTTCTGGACAATTATTTTGTATCTTTGCCATAGCATTGTTGAATTCCAACTCTCTATGAGCCCTAGCTGCCACCCAAAATAATTTTCTAGTAAGAGCATGAGGATATACCTTATCCACAGCTGGAAGTATTCCTTTTTGACCATCAGTCATTATTACCCAAGCCAAATTCCCACATGTGTCACCAGTGATTTTGTGTAGGTGTTCCAAAAACCACGTCCAACTTTCTTTGCTTTCAGACTCCACTACTGCAAATGCAAATGGGTATAACACATTATTCCCATCAAGCCCCACTGCACTAATTAAAATACCACCAAATGGACCTTTCAAAAAACAACCATCCAAACCAATAAATGGTCTACAGCCATCCCTAAAGCCATTTAATACTGCTGCAAATGATAAAAACATTCTTATAAACCTTGGTTCCTCTTCTTGTGAATGCTTTATAAACACTAAACTCCTAGGATTGGTTTTTTGAATCTCAGCTGCATATTTCCACAGTTTGGAAAATGAATCAGCATGGGTTCTTTCATTCTTTTCTAAAGCTTTCTTTCTAACCCTCCTCAAACATGCCTCACTTACTTCCACCTTAAAGTAATCTCTAACTTCTTGTTCCAACTTCTCTAAACTGATGTCAGGTTGATTTCTAAATTTGTTAACAAGTTTGTTTGCTATAAAAGTAGAAGTGACCACCTTGTTCTTAGTGGTTCTAATGCAAGTGTGTTCTGGACCAATTGTCTTAACCTTATATGTAACTTGGTCTTCCAATACTGTTACATGGATTCTCCAATGACAACCTGGGTTCCCACAATGACTAGTCACTCTAATTCTTTCATTCTTCTTCATCACCAATTTGAAACCCTTTTGAACTGAATACTCCTTCAACACGGTCCTGAAATGATTGATGTCATCAAACAAATGATCCTTCACAAATTTAATCTCTCCATTAGCACCATACTTGAACACTATCCCCTTGATGTGTTGATGCACAAAACCTTTCCTTTCATCACCACTTTCTCCACTAAATTCAGCACTATCACTGTAATCTGATAAATCTCCACAACTATTATCAGAACTCTCACTTTCTAATTCAATATTATCCCAATCATGTGCCTCATTTCCCTCATTCCAGTCCTCATCATCATCACTGTTTGAGAAACTGTAATTAGATTTCTGAGAATCATCACTATCTTCATCTTCCCCCTCACTGTCTTCATCTTCCCCCTCAGAATTTTGTAGTGGACATTGACTGTCTAAATTAATTGGAACACCCTTGTCAACAAATTCAACAATTATATCTATCTCTCTAACATCTGAGTTCATTTCAAACATAATGATCATATCATCGTCCCCATTTAATAGCAGTCTACCCCAATTCCCAGGAAATTTGTAAAATATATTCACTGCCATACCAGTCTGATTAACATTTCTAAGCATAAATGCATAAGCAGATGAATACAAGTCCAAGAAACTATATCCATTTGGATTTATCCCATTCAACACATGTATGTGACCATCAAAATTAAGTAGGAGATCATGGACTTTGTCATTACCCATCTGCAACTGAGAAAAAACATTAATACAAAATAGGTAAAGAAATTGTAATGCAATATGCATAAGATAGGATTGAATCTGTTCATGTTAACCAGAGCGGGACCCATGGTCCGTCATACAATTAACACAACCAGACCAATCACTAGTGTTGCAAAAGTCACTAACATGCAAACTTATACCACATAATCTTATTAATTTGTACAAGTATATCAGCATAACCCCCAAATAATAACAACGATTTTATAATAAAACCCTCAAACATAAATTAATAACAAATTGAACATAAAACTCTCAATCAGAAACCCTAAATGTAACAAAAAAAATTTAAAAATAATAAATTAATAATATAAAAAAAAAAACCGCTTATAAAAAAACCATATATGCAACTAATTTCATGAAATAACAACAAATTAATAAATAAATAAAAACCATCAGAAAACCCTCAATCACAACACAAACCCCCCAAAATTCGAACGATTGATTACACCAACCAACCAACCTTGGCGTTCATGAAAAAAAAAAAAAAAAAAAAAAAATGCTCAATCACAACACAAACCCCTCAAAATCCAAACAGTTGATTACACCACCAACCATCTTCAGTGTTTATGAAATAAGAAATTTATATAAAAATTAAAAATTAAAAAAAAATCATAAGAAATCCCTCAATATCTAAAGTTATATAACAAAGAAGCACAAAGTCACCATATATGCCGCAGAGGAAAGATTAGATCATTTACATCGAATGTGAAGAACAGAAAAATGAACAACACGACACAAACCACCAAGAATCCGAACTGTTGATCACACCAAGCAACTGATTTTAGCGTTCCAGAAATAAATGTTACATTTTTGGAGCAGATAAACAGTGAGAGAGATTGTGATAGAGAAATGAAAGGAAAAAAAGGTAAAGCCTTTGGTTTTCTTTCAGATAAACAGTACTGAGAGAGATTGTGATCGTGATAGAGAAATTGAGAAGTTTAGTGAGACAGACAAAGGTGAAATAAATGGGGTAGGTGGGTGGGTAGTAGCTAGCGCCAAATGGCGCCATTTTGTGTGGCTGATATTAACTGAGGGGTATATTAGACATTTTGCCATGCATAATATTTTAGGATAAAAGTGATTTAAATATTCAAGGGCAATATTGTCTTTTCGCAACCAATAAGGCCTTGTTTGGATTACAAAACTGACAGGGGGTCTCATTGTTCAAAAAAGAGCAAATTTATATATGCCTGTTAATACGGCAAACTTCAGGGAGTGTCGTTATAATTAACCCTAAATTAAAAACACAAGTTTATATAGTTATTACATAACTCAATTAATAATGAAAGTTAAGGAGTTAATGTATGTCCTTGTAAGAGTTAATTGAAATGAACTAATTATTTATAGTTTAGAAGAGTATAAACGAGTTATACGGAATGAACTTCTCAACCCTAGCATGACACAATTAATTAATCAGCTCAACTTTGTCAACCTGTTTATAACGCAAACTCGTTTAAAGTCAATTCAAATCCGCTTACTTCGTGTCCTATTCTAATCGTGTTGGCAGGTTGTATCGAACTTTGCCACCCCTAAATTTATTTTGAAACCAAATGACGCATTCAATTATGATGAATTACAATCACATAACTTGCTACTTTGTGGCCTTGGGTCGGTCAACTCTACTACAATCCGAGCTCATGCAAATTTTCAGAGCTTGAATTTTTAATTAATTTAACTTCTAAAAATTAGGATACAGTTTGGACAAAAAAATCTCAATTCAAATTTAATTTTCAACCAGACCACAATCCGAGCTCATGCTAATTTTTAGAGCTTAATTTTCAATTAGTCTAACTTCTAAAAATTAGGATTAAGTTTGGACTAAAATTTTTAAATTCAACCGAATTAAGCTAAATCCAACTTCTAAAAATTAGGATTGAGTTTGAACTAATTTTTTTTCAATTCAACCCTAATTAGGGTTGGGTAGGTGTCTGAAACCAAAACCTAAATCTTAATTTGATTTTTATATAATTACAATTTTAAATATAGTCAATCCTTTTTTCGTTCAATTTGTTTTTTCTATAAATTTACAATCATATTTTTATTTTTTATTTTTTATGCTAAGAGTAACAAAACCTTAGACTAACTTAAGATCAGTCTGATTTTTCAGTCAATCTAAGCTCAATCCAACTCCCAATATTAAAATTTGGGTTAAACTTAGAATTGAGAAGCTTGACTTGATTGTCAAATTGGTGTTGACTTGAATTGAGTTTGAATTGATTTTTCAATTTTCCCTTACATCCCCCAAATTAAAATACACACACACACACACACATATATATATATTTTCTCTTCTGATTGTGAGCTATACTTGATTCATTTTCCGTTTTCGTTTTATATTTATGTTTTCATCTTAAACCGTAACATTTTTGTTGCATAATATGTTAAATAGTAATTGAAAGAAGTATATGTTATCACATGTCACCAATTTTTTGTTTCCTGCCTGGATCTATTCAAATTACAAAAAAAAGTTACATGTTTTGGTATTTTCAAATAGACTCAGAAAAAACATAAAATAAAATTAATTTCCAAGTAGACCCATATTTGCCATCACCGAATCAGACTTTTTAAATTTAAAAATAAATAAATAAATAAATAAAAACTTAATATAAAATTTAAACTAAACATCTTTTAATCTTAATTTCAAAACATCAATAAAATTTTGTATTATTAATCATATTATGAGAAATTCCACCTTCTAACATAACTACATAACTATGCATAACAAATGATAAAAGTAAAATAATACCTGACATAGAAGTATATGATTAAAGATTCAATTGTTATCATGGTTGTCACTGAAAAAAATTAAAAAAGGACTGAGTCAACAAGTGAAAAAGCAAATCACATGCTGAAACAGAGTGGGGCAGGCGTAGTGGGTTGCGTTTTGACACTTGGGCCCTATACATATATATATATATATATATACATATATATATATATATATATATATATCCCTCCTCATCCCCCCACCACTATAAAGTCCATTTTAATTTATAGTCTTGCTGTTACCATTTCCAAATTCCACACCTACTTTTGACCACTGAATATTGTCGCTTCTCATCTTACTTTAATCATACTTCGCACCTCTCCCTCTAACTATCTACTTGCTTTGATCCATTTCTTAAGACTTGGTCCACATTCCTCTCTCTCTCTTGACACCAAACCTTCTTCATTCTCTGTATCTGGGTCTTCTGATCATGGACTCTATTTCTCGAGAAATTGAAGAGCAAGAAACAAACTTGCCGTCATCGTCGTCGTCACCGTCGCCGCCATCGGGAGGAGTAGGGAATATAAATGGGGAAGGGTCCGTTTCTAAAGGGGCAGGAACTCCAACTTTCATGGGGAAGCATCGCATGGCAGCCGCAATAGCATCCCTTCATCAGCAAATTCAGATCATACAGGTCCATCCTCATTCTCACTAGTTCATCTATATATATATATATATATTCCGTCATGCTTTTTCAAACACTATACCATAAATAATAGTATTCAAGATTACTTTTCTTTCAGATTATCATACTTTTACAAGTATTAGACACAAACATATTGGTCTATATATATATATATATATATATAATGTTCCGTTTTTTTATCCTGCTTGATAGTTGATAGCTCTTGATGCAGGAAGAGTTGGACCTACTTGAAACAGTTGGAGAATCCTCCATTGTCTGCAAAGAGTACGTATTTACTTTTACAGCGCCTTTAATTTACTACAATCTAACATGTCTCCTCTCTCTATATTTATGTGTATAATCTAACCTCTCTCTCTCTATATATATGTATGTGTGTGTGTGTGTATATCTTAAAGGCTCATATCAAGTGTTGAATCTGCACCTGATGCTCTACTCCCACTGTAAGAATCATTACCAGTTTAAGTTTCAGCAATCCCATCCATCTGCTATTTTTATGTAGTGTGAAATTATGTTGCTGTATGAATTTCTATGTATGCATGCAGAACTAAAGGACCTGCAATTGTTGGTTGGGATCGGTGGTTCCAAGGAGCCCATGGCACTCGAGGTCGCAAAAGGTGGATCTGAAGTTCAGTTAATGTATTTTTCAACTATGAACCCTGAAATAAATAAACAGAGAGCTAAACTTTTTTTTTTTCTTGAGGGTTGGCATTTCTCAACTACTTCAATTTTATTTTTTTTTGTGTTTTGTATATATATATCATTCCGCATATCCCAGCATTGTATCTGTAATCCGCAAGAATAACTATATTAAAATGGATTTTGTCTATACGTTCATTTAGAGTTTACCAACAAAGGCCTAATTTAGCAGGAACTAGGTAAACAAGCTGCTGTCCCAGCAATTGGCAAGAAAATGATTTGAACTATTATAATGTCCAAAAATGTCTTCACTCGCATCGAGTGATTTACTATTGTATGCAAATGACAGTATCGAAAGGCTGACAAGAAAGCCAAGGAAGAGGAATATGAGCACTGAACCGCACCTAGAATGTTCAAGAGACTAGGGAAACCTGGAAAATAAACAGTATCTACTTCCCCAAGGGAGGGCAGTGAGACACTGTCACCAAAATACCTACTCTTGCTAGTCACAAATCACCAAGAGTAATTATTGAGATCCCATTAACAGTGTTGTAGGAAAATTGAGGACTTTTTAATTATTTATTTGTTGGACTTGCCAAACAGCATGGATTTAAATCAGATCATCTATAACTGCATCATTTGCACAATTCAATACTTTAAAGTGAGCAACTCATAAAATATAATCGGCCGATCAAGAAAAGGGTGTAAAGAAAGATCCTTAGAATTTCATTCTTGATAAAGTTTTATAAATTTTATTCCCCATGAAGTTCTTACTTTCTAAAAAGATTACTGAATTTAACTGTAATGAGAGAATTTTTACAATCAGGCAGCTTTCACCAAAGACTAATGCGACACACATCTATGATGAAGTACATGTGTCAATAACTACTCACAAAGTAGAAAAGTAAACACGAAGAGCTAAAGACATGCGAGTCTTTTTGCTGACATAGCATACTCACGCACTGTGCTTTAGAGGTCCCTCTCCATCATAATCGGCTGTGATAACACGGCCATGATCACCTTTACCGTCCTTTTCTACTTCGTCCAAGTAGTCCTCGCGTGCGTTGTCAGCCAACATTAGGGAGACTAGCCAGAAGAGGGTTGAATCAAGGGAAACAAAAGCACCACCCCCAAGGAGACCGGTCTTAGCTGTGGGACAATCTGTTTCAAGATTGCGATGAACATTGCGTATCAGGTGAAGCTGCTCTGTGATCGTAGGCCATAACAGCATGGCTAATGCTAGTCCAGCTGTGCCCCTGTGATTTTAAAACAAGCAGTCACCAGAAGAAGGAAAAAAATTTACAAAGGGAGAGAAGGAAATGATTGAAAGAAAGACACACACACACATTGAAATTTCAAAGAAAAAAAGACTGCGCACAAACATGCAACTAGTGGTCTGATACGAGGTTATATCCAATATAAATTGGTGCGAGAGTGAGTTGTCTCAGCCTTTGAATTATTCTTCAGGTTAAGTTTGATTTGTGTACTGTGGTATCTCTGTCCTTATAAACAGTAATAACCTAGAACTATTGCATTGTAAATAAAAGTACCCTTCTCATTCAATCATATATAACTTCTAAGAATTTACCAAAAGCAAGTTCTTCAGTCTTTTAGGCTGTCATGGAATATTAGAAGGATACAAGTAGCACAGTATCAACTAAATGTTCAAAATGTATAATTTTCTAACAATGTTTCCTCCTAGACTCAGTGGCTAGTGACACTTAGCAGGATTGACATTGTTTAAAATGACTAATATTTTTACAGAATTACCAAAAGGAGAATATCCATGTTCCTAATCTTGGGCATCATAAACTTTTGGTTTCGAGGTATTTACTTAGCCCTGTAAAATTTTCTCTGATATTTTGTTTTCTGATTTACATTAAAGAATGCATCCAGTTTCACTGTTAATAAGTATCAAATAAGTCCATGTCTCTACTATTTTACAATAAAAATAGCAAAACAAAGAAACTGAAATTTGAAAGTTCCCAGACCTACAGGGTGAAATTCAAGTAATAACACACTTAAAAGAATAAAATAGAAATGGCAAAAGTACACTTACAAAGCAATATTGAAGAACACAAGGAAACTAGTGCTTTGGAATAATGCGGCCTGTGGAACAGATTTCCCTCTGTATGGGTAAAACAAAGACAAATACCCGGCTACAGTAGATGCAAGAAGAAATGCAACGGACAAATACCCCAAAACAACAGTAGGATCAGATGGATACTTGCAAATAACAACACCTTTCCCTGTAATAGGCGTTCCAGATGCAGGCTGTGAAACAAATGGATAAATTAGAAAGTAGACTAAGAAATAAATGGTCATTGGTGTATTTGGGTAAACAAGGTAACTTGTAAAAAAAAAAGTGTAAAGAAGGTTAAAAGAATGAATTGAATGCCATAATACACTCCACTTTTGCTTTTAGAATCCAACTTTGCTAGTGACATGCTATTACTTCGACAAAAAAATAACCATGCCATTTAGAACCAGAAGAAGAAAAAAGGTTAAGAAACAAAGATCACTTTGATGTAGACTTCTTTTGAGAGAGAACAAAATGACACAAGTTAATCAATTATGCTTGTCTACACTTTTTTGACAAAATAACTTCGTCAAATCCATCCAATGATGCTAGACAATTGCAACAACTCAAAGAGATTATGAACTGTACATGAGATATTGGAATTAGATCCTTCAATTCTAAAGCATTTGTTGGCACAGTCTTCGCTAAATAGTTAAGAAACACTTCAACAGTAATGTGAGCACACTACTTTTCAAAGAGAAAAAATATGTGAACACACATCTGAACTCCTCTATAAACAGAAGCTCATTATTTAATACTTCCTAAGCTGATTCAGAGAAAGTTCAAAGAATAGGGAAAATGAAATACTGGAGAAATCGTTCTAACCCAAAAAGAGTTATAGAACCTCCATGCCGTCTTTCCTTCTAATCCATGCATTTAAATGAAGTTATACCACCAATGGACAAGAGATAGCAAACTGCTTACCAAAAGCAATTTAATAAAATAAGCTACCAATCAAAAAGGAATACTCAAACAATTTTAACTTGATCAAAAGAAATTAGACCAAACTCTTTCATTTCACAAAATAAATAAATAAACAATTATATCTTCTCATGAGCACAGAATGAACAATCAAAACATTCATGGAAGACAATTACTCCAAATATCTTACTTTGTAAATCATAATCATATGAAAAATTCAAATTACATCATGGTCACTGAATGACTAAATGAATTTTCTAACAGAAAACGGAACAGTTAAATTGTGTTTTAGCATAAAATAAAATAAAGGGTTGATGAGAAAATAAGGGAAGTCAAGAGAACATTCACCGAAAAGATAAACAAGTTCTAATCTTTATTAGAAGTATGAGATAACCTTCTTGTTTTCGGCAATAACTCCGAAAATGAATGACAATGCACCAAGAGCAGCAACAATCAAAGACATCTGTTTGGTAGTAAAAGCCATTGCACCTTTAGAAGCTCTGGCAATACCCTGCAAACTAAAACATAATGAATAAATTAAATAAGGTTGGGAATAAGATGAAGGGGGTGGGGGTGAACAATAAGATGCAATCAAAAGGAGAGAGAGAGAGATATGCATACATTTTTTTTCCTTTTTTATTTTAATATAGATGATCAATTATGAAGTACCGCAAAAGAAAGTAGGAAAAAAAGACCCATTCTAGAAAAAATTCCTAAAAAAACATTGGAACACACTTACTTTACAAAAAATATAAGAAGCATGTTATTTCTTAACTCTAATGAAATATATTATATGTATAAATTACCAAAAAAAAAAAAAAAAAAAAGGGAAAATTAGAAAATTATAAATCGAGATTACGGGAAAATATCATAATTAGGGCAAAAATAAAATCAACCAAAAATAGAATTGCAAAAGTCCATAACCTAAGCAAATCTGTCGCATAAGAGCATCTACAAGTTAATGACAATTAATAAACCAGTAACTTACAATCATCAAACCGTGATTGGGAAGACTAACAATACAAAGAATTAGTTATACCATTAAAATTATCCATACTTCTTGAACTATCCCAACTCTAAGCACTTAACAAACCCTAATGAAAAAAATTAAATTTTGATACTTGAAAACATACACTTCCATATGCACATAAAACGAAAAAATCAATTCACAAACACTGATAAAAACGAAGATAAACGTCAATACCAGCTAAATCACCAATCGGAGAGACTGGGAATCAGAGCGATTAAACCAGAATAAATAATGTAACACTACTTACCCTAGGCAAAAATAGAAGAGTATATTTTTACTAAGAAAATCTACCTTTAAAAGGAATATAGATTACCTAAAAATTTGATTCAGATTCGATGAATCTTTAGATGATCTGGTCCTCTCTCTCTCTAAGAATATCAAATTGCAATATATAATATATATCTATGTATGTATATATATATGATGAAAGAAGAAGATAAGGGGAAGAAGAGTATACCCTGAACCAACGACGCGTGTGTTTGGGTGTTTGATCCAAAAGTATTTGCTTGAATTTCTCCTATACTCGTGCGATTTTTGACGTTCAGTTTACGGATTTGACACACAACACAGTGTCACACAAGAGTCATAGTTAACTCTGTGATTTTTATATAAATTTCCACCAATCAAATTGCAGCATCGCCGTTGCGTGGTTGGATTTAGCTAGCGCAGTTACGTGGTCCAGCCTAGACAGCACAAATTAAGTGTGAAATTAATTAGCTATAAAATTTCTGATTTGTTACTTGCCAAATAAAAAATAAAATTCCTTATTTGCCATATAGCCTTATTAAACGGATATTTATTCCACACGTATAGTGCATGTCACGCACAACTGTGTATACGACTATACGTATATTTGTGTGTATTTTATTTTATTTTATTTTTTTCTACCTATATGCAACTTTTTTTGTTTGTAATAAGAATGCAATATTCTCAATATGTGTCGCTCTCAATCGTGTTATTGCTCAAATTCTCACTATTTATAACTTAACTCTTTCACTGTCAAATTCGCTCTAACTTTCTTTTCCCGTTTCACAGTGACTTAGATTTTATAATCTAGAACTTCAATAAGCCATAAAATAATATTATTGAACTTTATAACTTTACTTAGATTTTACAGTATAAAACTTCAATAAGCCATAAAATAATATTATTGGATTTTATAACTTTACTTCCCTACTTTGCTACTTTATTTACGAATAAAGTCAACAATCAGAATCCAACTAAGTTTGGTCAAAATACTTAGGTTTCGTTTGAGAATCGGTTAATATTAAAATTCTTAGAGCAACTCCAATGAATTATCTAAAAATTGGCTTTCTAATTTGTCACGTTATAATTTTATAAGAGCATTTCCAAGAGTCACATCAACGTTTTAAAGTCTCTAAATTTTAGCTTTGAACTTTAATTGTGCATTTTTGCTTTTCAAAAAAATTTTACTAAATTTTATTTTTTAACTTTTTTCTAATGATTATATCATATAAAAATTTTAAACAATACAATATTTATTATGAATTATAAAAATTAAAACAATACAATACGATATGAATTTTTTAAAAATAATAATAATAATACAATACGATATGAATTTTTAAAAAATAATAATAATAATAATACAATACCATTATTAACAACAATAGTTGTAGTTGTAAGTTGAAGAGTAAATAATATAGATGGGTTGGATATGAGGTGAATGATGGTAGGGGTTGATATATTTATAGGGGAAAAATGAAAGGTTTTTAAATATATATATATATAATTATTTTTAAAAAATTTCAAAAAATGCTTTTGTGCCAATATAGCCGTCCAAACAGTGCCTTAAATGGCTAATAATGTCAATAGGAATATTAAACACTTTAAAAAGGGAAGAAAAAAAATCACTTTTCTCCATTTTTTAAAAACTTTTTTTGCCCAAAAAAAGCCTTGAAGGTACTGTTTGTGTTAGCCAAACAGTGTCTTAAAAACTTAAAAAAGGGAAGAAAAAAATCACTTTTCTCCATTTTTTAAAAACTTTTTTTGCCCAAAAAAAACTTTTAAGGTATTGTTTGTGTCAACCAAACAATGTCTTAATGACTCTTTGGTTTAAAAAAAAGAGCCAAACAATGGAAAAAAAAAAAAAAAAAGAGCCAAACAATGGAAAAAAAAAAAAAAAAAACTAGTTTTTTGAATTTTTTTCATAGCCAAACACGCCCTTAAATTTATTCTTTGCTACAGTATTGCTGGGCCACAAAAGTTAAAACTCAAAAAAATGGGCGAGCTAGCAGAAGGCAGCCTGCAATCACAAACTGGGTCGCCAAAACGGCGACCCATTCCTTGACCCAAAAAATGGGACCCATTTTTGGAGACTCTATTGAGCTCTTTAGAATTTAATTAGGGGGGTAGATTGAATTTGTGGTGCAAGAATTAAAGTTGTTTAATTTGACCAATCCTAGGCAAATGCGGTTCAAAATTTTTGATTTGGAGAAGATTTGAGAATATAGTGATTTGGATCTAATAACCCATAATTATCTGATTTGTGTTTTTCTTGTAAATTTGTTTGAGTAGCATGTTTGGTATACATATTTTTACTTTTGTTGAATTGTTTTAAAATTTAAATTAAGGTTATTTTGCGTTTTAATTTTATTTTAATATTAGTCAAAATGATTTATACATATGGTAAAATAAAAATAAATTTCTTTCTTGGTTTGTTGACTTGGCGATGACAATATTATATGTGACGTTAATTATTATCGTTAGATATTCACTCACGTCCTCCTCCGATGAAAGAGTAAGTGGAGAATTTTTTTTTTAAATCCATCTCGTCCCATTAGCTTTAAGAGGTCCCATAAATAAATAAAAAAAACTGCTTTAATTTATTCTTCAACCCTTTCTGCTGTCAAATGTCAATAGTTTGTTATCCTCCTCTTAAACAAGAGCAGATATGTGATGAATAAAACTCGGAAGAAACAAGTATTTCTATCGCCTTCCCTTAACCAGTGTACCCCTCGCCTTTTGTTTCCAAAACAGTTCTTCCCGCTGCCACAAATTATAAATTCAATCTTCCACAAATTTTAACCTTGAGGCCATAAAATTCCACATCCGCTTGGAATTTCCTGTCTTGACTTGACTCCATTTTTTCAAGCTGTTTTACAGTTAGTAATAATGTTTTTCAACTTGAACATCAAAGTTTAAAAATTCTACTTTTATTGTTTCATAACAATTATATTTTAATTAAATTTCTTAACCCTTTAATGTGTACTTTAAATTCAAATTTTAACCTTTCTATTTTAACAAATATTACAGTATTACACCTACACATTTTACTACTACGAACACTTAAAATTTTTTATTTTCAACTTTGGGAGCAAATAGAATAAATTGTCACTCAACTACAATTTTTTTATGATCCCTTCCATTTCATTAGGCTGTCTTCGTTTAAAATTATTGGGCAAATGAGTTTATATATATATTTTTAATGCGAACCTTTTTTCAAATTAAAATATTCTAGGTTGAAAAACAAAGAGTAATAATCCTAGGCCGGCTATCTACAATATATTAAGCCGGCACAAAAAATCCAAATAAGATTTTGGCAAAATGAAGAATAACCAAAATAATTTTCTCCCAATAAGAAACCATCTGGCGGTCCTGGCATCCAAGAGAATGATCGTTTGGTTTCTATGGTGGCAAAAGAAAGATTTGAGTTTTTACTACCGTCCAAATCTTGTGTACCATCTCAAGAGTTGTTAATAACTTGTTATTAACTTTTGATTATTTTTCAAATGGATTAGCAATGGTTTCAGTTTTTATTTTTGTAATATATATATATATATATATATATATATATATATACTGGTAAAAGGCACGCACGCACGCACGATGAATGTTTTGTAACGTATCGAATTTTTCTTTTCATATATTTTTTAATTATTTTATAGAATTTATTTTATTTTATTTATAAATATCCTCATCTAATTAGATTTTATAAATAGATAAATAAGAGGTTATATATGATAGAGTTCTATTTTAAAATTAATTAATAATTTTTTTATATTAAAAAATAAATACTGAAATGCTAAAACTCTTTACACTTTTATATTTTATTTTTATGTATTGTTATATTATTATATATTTTCTTTAAATATATCATTGTCTAATGTGATAGAGTTTTATAAAAAAATAAAATAGATAATTTGTGGTACAGTTTTATAAAATAATTTGTCATTTGTGGTACAGTTTTATAGAAATTATTTTATTTTCTTTAAATATATCATTGTCTAATTATATTTCTTTTTATTAAAAAACTCATAATAAATAAATAAATACACGTTATATGTAATAGAATTTTAAAGAAAATAAAATAGTTAATTTGTATTAGTGTTTTATATAAACTCTTTTAATATATTCTTATTTAATGTGATAGAGTTTTACTGAAAATAAAATAGGTAATTTGTGATAAGAAATTTTTATTTTTAAATATACATATATATCCTTGTCTAATTAGATTTTCTTTTATTAAAAAACTGTAATTTGTGGTACAGTTTTAGAAAAAATAATTTATTTTTTATATCAATTAATAAAAATTTTTTACATTAATAATTCTTGTCTAATAAGATTTTCTTTAATTAAAAAACTCAAAATAAATAGATAAATCGGTAATTTGTGTTGCAGTTTTATATAAACTATTTTTAAAAATTATTTTATTTTCTTTAAATATATCCTTATCTATTTAGATTTCCTTTTATTAAAAACTTGATAATAAATATATAAATATAGGTTATATGTGATAGTGTTTTAAAGAAAATAAAATAAGTAATTTGTGGTAGAGTTTTATAGAAATTATTTTATTTTTTATAAATATATTCATAATAAATAGATAAATACATATTATTTGTGATAAAGTTTTATAGAAAATAAAATACATAATTTGTGGTAGAGTTTTATATAATTAATTTTTTTTTAAATATATTCTTGTCTAATTAGATTTTACTTTATTAAAAAACTCATAATAAATAAATAAATCTGTAATTTGTGCTACAGTTTTATATAAACTCTTTTAAAAAATTATTTTATTTTCTTTAAATATATCCTTATCTAATTAGATTTCCTTTTATTAAAAAATTCATCATAAATATGTAAATACAGGTAATATGTGATAGTGTTTTAAAGAAAATAAAATAAGTAATTTGTGGTAGAGTTTTATAGAAATTATTTTATTTTTTGTAAATATATTCATAATAAATAGATAAATACATGTTATTTGTGATAAAGTTTTATAGAAAATAAAATACATAATTTGTGGAAGAGTTTTATAGAATTTATTTTATTTTATTTAAATATATTCTTGTCTATTTAGATTTTACTTTATTAAAAAACTTATAATAAATATATAATGTGATAGAGTTTTATAGAAAATAAAACTAATAATTTGTGGTAGATTTTATAGAAATCATTTTATTTTTCTAAATATATTATTGTTTAATTATATTTTCTTTTGTTAAAAAAACCCATAATAAATAGATGAATAGGTAATATGTGTTAGAGTAAATCTTTTAAAAACTCTTTTTATATTAATTAATAAATATTTTTTTATAATAACAATTTTTCTCTAATTAGATTACCTTTTATTAAACAAAAAATAAATAATAAAAAAACTCAAAATAAAAGATAATTTGTGGTAGAGTTTTAGAAAAATTATTTTATTTTTATATTAATTAAAAAATATTTTTTATATTAATATTTCTAATACAATTAGATTTTCTTTTATTAAAACTCATAATAAATAAATAAATAGGTAATTTGTGTTACAGTTTTATATAGAAACCCTTTTTAAAACTTTTTCAAATCAATTAATAAATAATTTTTTATATGAATAATTATTGTTTAATTAGATTTACTTTTATTAAAAACTCAGAATAAATAAATAAATAGGTAAATTATGTTAGAGTTTTATAGAAACTCTTTTAAAACCTCTTTTTATATATCAATTAATTAATATTTTTTTATATTAATAATACTCGTATAATTAGATTTCCTTTTATTAAAAAACTCATAATAAATATATAAATATGTAATTTGTGATAGAGTTTTATAGTAACTTTTTAAATATATCTTTGTTTAATGTGGTAGAGTTTTATTAAAAAAAAATAGATAATTTGTGGTAGAGTTTTGTATAAATTATTTTATTTTCTTTAAATATATCCTTATCTAATTAGATTTATTTTTATTAAAAAATTATAATAAAAGGTAATTTGTGTTAGAATTCTAGAAAAATTATTTTATTTTATATATCAACTAATAATTTTTTTTTATATTAATAATTATTGTCTAACTAGATTTTCTTTTATTTTAACTCAAAATAATAAATAGATAAATAGGTAACTTATGTTAGAGTTTTATAGAAACTTTTTAAATATATCATTGTTTAATGTGATAAAGTTTTATTGAAAATAAAATAGGTAATTTGTGGTAGAGTTTTAGAGAGATTATTTTATTTTATTTAAATATATCATTGTCTAATTAAATTTTCCTTTATTAAAAAATCGTAATAAAAGATAATTTGTGGCAGAGTTTTAAAAAAATTATTTTATTTTCTATATCAATTAATAAGTATTTTTTATATTAATAATTTCTTGTCTTATTAGATTTTATTTTATTTAAAATTTTATAATAAATAGATAAATAGGTAATTTGTGTTAGAGTTTATATAAACTCTTTAAATATATCCTTCTCCAATATGTTGTATTGAAAATAAAATAGGAAAATTATTTTATTTTCTTTAAATATATCCTTGTCTAATTAGATTTCCTTAAAAAACTCATAATAAAATGTAATTTGTATTAGAGTTTTAGAGAAATTATTTTATTTTACCTATTTATTTTAATTGGTAATTGATTTGTGTCAAAGTTAACAAATTTGAAATTGAATTATCAATAACACTCTTTTTAATATTTAATATAATATATTAATGTTGTTAACTTATTAGTGTGTATATGTATTACTTTATAAAACGTCAAGGAGGCTATGCCTATACCTCCTAATCCACTGCCCAATATAACAAGGATGTCAAAAACAAAACAAAAAAAAAAAGGTATGAGAATAATGCGTGATGAATTAATTATTTATGCACCAATTGATTTATTTCAATATTTTATGCACCAATTGATTTATTAAATATTTTATTATGCATTAACAAAAAAAACTCTATTAATTCATAAAAGAAAATTAATAATTATTGTCCAATTAATAGGTAATTCAAAATCAATTCAAAATTAAGTCCAACTGAAAATCAAAAAACATTGAAACCCTACTCAAAATAATATATTAAGAATGAACAAAAAATAAAAAATAATAAAAATTGAAAAAAATAACATATAAAAAATCTTCAGCAACAAATTCAATTCAAAATCACATACTACTGAAAATCAAAAAGCATTGAAACCCGACTCAAAATAATGTATAAAGAATAAAAACTGGAAAAAAAAATTACAATCCAAAGTAAACTTACAAAGAGTAAAATAAAAATAAAAACTAAAGAAAAAATAATAATGATACTTTTGAAAAATAAAAAGTAAAGAAAAATAAATGACAATAATGACTCAAAATAATAATAAATTATGCATGAACCAAAAATAAAAGGAAAAAAAATCACAATTCAAAGTAAACTTACCAAATCAACTACTTCTAAACATCAATTAGAAAGAGAAAAATTAAATAAAACAAACCAACTACTTCTAAACATCAATTAGAAAGCGAAAAATAAAAATAAAGCAAGAGAAAAAAAATACTAATAACCCTTCTAAAAAGGAAAAGTAAAAAAAATAAAATAACAATCCAACCTTCTCAATACAACAAAAAACTTACAAAGAGTAAAATAAAAATAAAAACTAAAGAAAAAAGAAGATTGATACTTATGAAAAAAGAAAAAAAAAATAACAATAATGACTCAAAAAAAATAATAAATTAAGAATGAACCAAAAATAATAAAATAAAAAAATGAAGAAAAAAAATCAACCACTTCTAAACATTTATTAGAAACATCCATTAGAAAGAGAAAATAAAAATAAAACAAATCAACTACTTTTAAATGTCAATTAGAAATAAAAAAATAAATATAAAAATAAAACAAAAGTAAAATAACATAATAATAATGCTTATAAAAAGAAAAAGTAAAAACTTATGAGACCAATTATAAAGAGAAAATAAAAAATATGCACACCATATATAGATTATATGTGATAGAGTTTTATAGAAAATAAAATATGTAATTTGTGGTAGAGTATCATAAAAAATAAAATAGGTAATTTGTGGTAGAGTTTTATAGAAATTATTTTATTTTCTTTGAATATATCCTTCTCTAATAGAAACTCTTTTTATCAATTAATAAATATTTTTTTATATTATAATAAATAAATACTGAAATAAATATTATAATAAATAAATACTGAAATACTGAAACTCTCTGCACATTTAATAATAGTATAGATAGATATAGATATAGATATAGATATAGATATAGATTTTAATGGTTGCATGAGACCCTTAGAATATTTTATATATGTATGTAAAAAGTCAAATAAATTATTTAATATATTTTTCAATCTAGTAGTTAAATACATAGAAACACTAATATTAATCACATTACTCTTGTCACGAGTCACAAGCGATAAAATTACTCTTACCATTATAAATCACTAATATATTTATATTTATATATATAATAATAGTTGCACGAGAGCCCTAGAATATCTTATAATCTATCGTTAATCACATAAGTGCACTCAATAATTATTAAAAAAATAAAAAGAAATATAAAATTAAACAACTTAAGGTTGTGTTTGGAAACAAGGAATTTGGTGGGATTTCAATTTGAAAAAGGGATTCTTAGGAATTTGTGTTAAAAAAAAAAACACGAACAGACATGAATTCAAATACAATTTTTCATCCCCCCCGGATTCATCCCAAAAAAGAGAAATTAAGACTTTGTTTTGATACCTATGGAAATAATAATAATAATAATAACATTAGTTATAAGAGAAAATAAAATAAAAGATAGCAATAATCTGTATTTATGTTTGGAAAAAAAAAAAAAAATGATATTATTCTTGTTTGGATATAGTAGAGGGAAGAAGAAAAAAAAGGAGAAATAATAACAACCAAATTATTATCATGTTCTTTTAAATTGATGGATATGAGTTAAACAATAATTTCTCTTTTTAATTATGGAGAACAGTTTTGAGATTGTGAAAATAGTACTTAAACACTATCATTTATTTTTCTATTTTTATTTTTTTTAAGATAGGAAATGAGAAATATGATGGGATAACTATCCCTCCCTATCCTTTACTTTCTCTGATTTTGAACTAACTAAACACACCCTTACTATCCCTTCTTTTATTTTATCTCCCTGTCCCTCCAAATCTGTCTTATCCAAGAGTACCCTAACTTATTTTCCTACTTTATAGTCTCTATATACTTGTGCATTCTTTCAACTTTGACTACTTTCCTTCAAGTTCTCGTCTTCCACCTACATTCTGCATATTTAGGATTGATCACATTCGGGAGTGTTATTCAACTTATTCGGATATAATGTTAGGTGGTCGTATCATTACTCAAATGTTTATGCTCAATGTATTTGTTATAATTTCATAATTTGTCATAATTTAAGAAGATGCTCAAGTTATTCTCCATCTTACATTAGATCTAGAAAGGAATTTATTTCCATTCAAATCCAATTAGTTTCATATATGTAAATGAAACAACTCGTATATACCCAGCACCTCTTCATTCGGATGGAGGCTATTCTGTCTATTTAAGGTGGCAAAATCGAACACAAGTCAGACGATTAGTGTGATATTGAAGGATCAAAGACTGTATTTAATTTTCATATGAACCAACTCATATATGCACAAAACTTTCCTATTCCGATGGGATGATTCTGCCTACCCAAGGCGACAAAATCGAACACTTTTGGACGATAGGCATGACATCGAATAAAAAGTTGAGTTTTACTGTAATATTAACGATAACAGAACTGTTGTTTGGCAGCTCAACTCAAAAATTTCAATTATTGGGTGGACCTAATCCTCGTACATAATGACTTTCCTATCGGATCCAAAGTGGGACAAGAGTCGCAAGACTTCTCTTGTAACACCACCTGCTACCTTAGGGTACTGCTATGTCTCAAGCCGACAAACCACCCGACTGCCCTGTTTCAGTGGACCCGGGTGATGCATTTATTCGGGTTGAATATGGTACCAAATTTCAATCCCTTTGAACCCTAATCTCTCACATTCTTCTACGTAAACGGATCTCAGGTAATCATCAATCATCTTTTCTCTCTATCTGCGAAAAGTAAATCTTAACATCTTGGATCTTGAAATGTCTTTCTTACTTCGATCTTCAAATTCACTGTTTTCGATATTCTCTCAGGTGAAGCACATAGTGACAGATCTTCTCTGTCACCGTCTACAAGCCAATCAACATCCGAAAAAGCAAACCGGGTTCTCTCTCATTTTCATCTCTTGGATTATCTCTACGTGTGTAAAAAGTCAAAGCCCCAACCATCGCAGAAACTTGTGGTCACGAGACCTCAACTGCAGCTGAGCAGCAGACGCGGACGAATATAATTCTCAGAAGCATCGGCATCCGAGGGAGGTACTGTGTCTTCTTCATCGAATTTCGTTTTCTGGGTATGGATTATTTGTCAAATGTAGCATTGACTGCTTATCAATTTTCTTTATTGATGTTAGTTGTCTTCGGGTTGATGGGTTGTCATGATATTTATGCCATGATTTCATCTTGCTTCCATCTTCTGTGATTATTTGATCAATTGGATATGAGCTCATCATCCTTAAATTGTATCTTGAAATTGCCGATTTTTTATTTTATTTATTTTAATATTTCATTCCTTCACCCAAAATTATATTGCTTAGTATAAGTTCATGAATGTTCAACTCATGAGCTGCAAGCAGTTTTTTGTTTTATTTTAAAAATGGAATCTTTCTTCTTGGTTCAGTAATCAAGACCTGGTTTTCCATTAAGCTATAGTGACTGCGGGACATTTGACCATGATGAATAATGAATTTCCCTTCCCATTCCATTGCCAGGTCTAAATTTGGCAGTCTTGCAATTCTTTTTTTGCATTGAAGTGCACTGCATGCTGGTTCATGAAAAGGGAATAGGAGGTTAATATAGTATTTTGTACACAATATTCTTATTAATGTAATTCCTACGTTCTTAAAGTAGTTGTAATTTTCTAACAGTAGGTGGTTAATATACCATTTCATCCCCAAAAGAATGATTAATGTAGCAAGTCTGTTTGTTCCTAGAAGTATAATTGATAGTCAAATGAAAACTAAAGTAAAGAATTGACCTTTTTGCAAAACTTCGTTTTATTGGAAGTTCAATCAAATTTTGATATAGGAAGTTTGCAAGCCCGAATTCAACCTGCCCGAAATTTGGCTAGTATTTTTATTTATTTATTTTTAAAAAAATTATTTTCTGGGTAGTAGTAGTAGTTGTTGTGTTAATGCATTGGCCAGTTTTGTTGAACCTGATGAATGGGTCATTAGCTGATGTCATATCCCATGCCAGCTAATTAAATATTTTGGACATTGGTTCTGTTGTGTTAATGAACATACAATTTTCATTATTTGAGTTTTCTGACCCATTGTCCAACGTCTGGATATTTACCAATTAGCCTCCTTTTCAATTTCACATTTATTTACTGTTAATGTAATCATCATAATATAGAGTCTTCCCTCTTAAGATTCTTAGAACAGACTTTGATTAGATCGTTTGATTATGATTTGAACTTGTCATGTTTTGTTTGTGTAGTTTTGGACTTACACAGGTTCGTTGTACTTGATCATTGAATCTCATTAATTGGTAACCTAGTGTTACCAAAAACATTCATTAAATGCATTGGGGATGTATTATACACATGACAAGTGCTCAGATTGACCATACATGTTATGTATAATATTTATACTCATATTAAACATGGGTATTAAAGTTGGGACCTAAACATTTAGTGTACTGGTGATATGGGATTTTCTTCAGAGAGGCATAAAGATTTTGAAGGTTACTAATCTTCCAAAAATTTACTTTTTCTATTACATTCTATTTTGATTTTGATATATTCTGATATCTTTTTAATTATTGTTATTTTTTTTGAGAATTTTCATTTGGAGAATATGATGGAGTGAAAGGGAAATGAACGTTGTAATTGGTAAAAGTAGATACTAGAAATGATATTGAAATACCATATCATGCAGTTTTGGTGACACAAAATTATGGGTTCGTCATTTATGACAACTATGAACTTGTTCAATATGATGGAAATTGGCTTACCTTTTCTTTGTTTCCAACTTTCCGGGATGGCATCTTTCTAGAAGCAGACTGACGTTACCTGCTTCATTCATCCCATAATCATGAAATTCTTCTTAAATATTTCTCTGCAGATTGTCTATGCCTAGCCCCATCTTCTACATTATTGCATTATTAATTTAAAAAAAAATTAACATCCCATTGGAAAGATGCTGCCGCTGGGTTTTGGGGACTTGGGTACGGTTGATCCTTAGATGCTGCTCTCTGACAGCCATATAATTGTACAAGTGCACCAAACTCTGCGGAAATGCACATGAAGATTGCATAAATTTGTAAGGAAAGTGGGACTGCATGGTAAAACTCTCAGGATTATGAGCTCCTCCCAAATGAGCTGCAGAATGATAGTGTCGGGAGAAGCATTCTCAACATCCTTCATTCGCTATTCATTCTTGTTTTGCAATCTTCAGAATATATGCATATAAAACGATTTCACCTGTTCTTCTATAGCCATTCCTAATGATTAAAGTATCAAGTTCTACACGTGGAGTATGGTGGTAGAGAGCAAATGATTCAATTAGAATTCAGCTAAGTTTTTCCAGAAGCGCTTAGAAAAATATTTATCATGCAGGAAATGGGTTTTTGGACGCTAGTGGAAGGCTGTCTGCTTATTGCAAATGCACTGGCAATACTAAACGAGGATCGCTTCCTTGCACCCAGAGGCTGGAGCTTTCAGGAATTCTCGGGGGTCCGGAGAAATTCGTTTAAGGGCCAGCTTATAGGTCTCATATATGCGACACAGTATATGAGAGTTCCTCTTATTCTCCTCAACTCTATCTGGATTGTTGTCAAGCTGGTGTCTGGGTGATGTTGCCTGGTAAGTCTACGTCTGAGGACTAACTGGAGTATTTATTTTTCCTTGTTAAGATGTGTGTGTATGTTGAGCTTAATGTGTAACGGAACAAGTTGCCACTTTAGAATTTTTGTGAAGTAACACAAATTAAAGAAATAAAAAAAATTATTTGGAATAGCTAGGATGTCTATGACTATGATACATGAAACAAAGATATTGTTGACTGGGAGACAGAATAAGTTGTGGAGAATTTTTGGATTTTCAGAATTTTTGGATTTTGAAAATCGAGGCCAATCAATGCAGCATAATTTATTCCTTTCATTATAATTCAAACAATTCAGCTTACCTTGCTGGTTTCCTTTGCATAGGATATAGGTTGGTTACAGGTACGTTTTCTCTTTTCATCTAGAGCTAAAAGTTTGCTCACTGTGCAGTAAGAGGCTATCCACGCTGATTTTTTGCAGTGTGATTCTGCAAATATTTGTTGGGTGGCAATTGTGTGGTTGATGCTTGAATGGTGTTTTCATTGCATTAAGCGCGGTTAAGGCCACAAATGTCTTTTGTTCAACCTTTATTTATAAAAACTAACGAATGTGCAACTCAACGTGGCAAACCATTGAAAAGCTACTTTCATATTTTTTCCCCTTACAATTCTTGTCATATGCATTGCCCTTCCTTTCTCCCATTTTAAAAAGATCAGTGGTAATTAGATTCTTTATTGCTCCAGTGTCAGTGAGGATAGCAGTGCCTCGTGGCATGGTAGTGAACAGAGCTCTCTCTCACTCATACTATTGAAATCCATAGTTCATTGGTTTGAGTTCTTTCTTTATTTATCTGTTTGTTTGATAAGAAATCTCATGCATGTTATAAATCAATGTGGTTATTCTGTGTACTTTTCGGTTTCAGACCAGTTAATTGTTGCAAGGATTTGTGAAGATTCTTTGAGATTCAGGGAAGTTTGCAGAAAAGGTTTCTTTTGGAGGGCAGAATCACTTGGGTAAAGTTAAAAGGAATTTTTATTTTATTTTTTAATTTAAAATTTCTTTCCCGTGAGTTACCATTTTTAGGTTATATTCACTCATCGTTCCTTGAGATTATTGTGGTAGGAGGATAAGGTGGATGTGGAATTGTCATGAGAGATTTGACTGTTAATTGTATAATGGAAATAACTTTAGGACCTTAGTTGTTATTTGGCCATATATGATATTCTGTGCTGATTCTCTGATTCTCATCTGAAATATGGTTTGTTTGATATGAGATTTTATGAGGATTTGGTTTTCTTTAGTGAAGGATGTTGTGATTCTGGTTTGAAACTTCTTTGATTAACTTTCTTATGGGTGAGTTAGCTTTTAAACCTTGTGTTTGAGAAGTTTGTTACTTGACTGCTGGAGCATTCTTGTGCCTCATTTATGTGTTGCTTTGGACCATATATTAATTGGCCACTTTCTTAATCGAAGAGTCTAAATTGAACTGCCATCTAATAATTTCTTGCATATCAGAAGCTTTCAATATTTTGCCCAATCACATGGCACCAACTGTGCAGTGACCTAAAGTCAAATCCCATATGGAACACTATAATCCTAAACCATTAAACTGTGATTCGAGCTCCCAAATAATCGCAAGTAATGGTGTCATCATAGTTTTCACAGTCAAGGAACCAACGAACTAGATTGATCTATATAACATTTTCTTTAAAAAGAAAAAGTAGGGAAAAAAAAGAAGAAAAGACGTATGAATAATGCTTTCAATGTATATATGTATCGTCGTCATTTTGATTTTGACATCGACTCAAAAGGCAATGTCGTGTGGACAATACAAAATTCCAACACTACCTTCATGGTCACGGAATAGGAATTGTATAGCCTTGATTGTAGCAAGACTTAACCTCACTCTCACAAGCAATATATAAAGTTCAACATTTGACTTCATTATTTTATTTACTACTGCACTAATATATACATATGTATGTGTATTGTGTAATGTCGATCAATACTTGTTTTCAGATAATGGATGTTGATCTTAACACAATCTCCCTCCATTGCACATGGAATAAACTAAACCCTAATCGTCACGAAACATAGCAGAATCTATAAACACTTTTGAGTGTGGCAACTGCCAAAGTTTAACCTCACTGTCACAAGGCAAAGTTGATGGATTCATTACCGTGTAATGTTTGAGTTCATTATATTCTATATATTAATACATTTGTGCATGCAAATAAAAAATGTGACAAGGGTTATTGTACAAATATGTACAGCACAAAAAAATAGGTGTGATATTGTTGTTCAAGTGACAGAGTAATATCTTAAACGACTACCACCATATGCTTGTAAGTGATAGTAAGTAAAATCTCTTGTAATATTAAAAATTAATGTGCAACAAATGACAGGGAACTATAAATTACAGGTATACTAATATTTATTTATTAATTTTTTTTTTAATGAGTATAAGTTTTGGATATACCATTCCACCATACCAAAGGTTATTGTTGGAATGACAGAGAGAAAAATTAATTATAAAATTCGTTTGCTCTTTAATTTAAAGTTGGGCCAATTTGGGCCTCTTTTATTATATATTTAATTTAAAAAATTATTAATAATAACTTATGAATCCAAATCTAAATATTATCAAAAGTAATGAAAAGATCAAAAATACAAATAATAAAACATATTTTTGAAATTAAACTAAGCAGATGAATTAAAGGACTTAATTTTTAACCCCGATTAAAATAAAGTAATCAAAACACTTTACTAGAAGAGGCACACCTGCGATTAAAAAATAAAAAAATAGTATTAAAAAAGGTGGTAGAGTGCGTCTAGATGCGACTCGGGTCAAGAGAAGTAGGGTTCGGGTTTGATCATTCGAATTTCGAGACGCAATTTCCCAATTATAAACACAGCATACGGCAAGAGAGGGCTTTGGTACTCTTCTTTTCTTGTGCCTCTGAAAACACAGTCGCACGAAGAACACAACACCAATAAAACGTATTTCATTCGTCCCCCCACTCTCTCTCTCTACATCTAACTCTCTCTCTCTTCTTTTTGGAGTTGTGACATATGGAGGCGGTGATGGGTCAATCTCAATCAGCGACACAACCATCGTCTTCAACGCCACCGCCACCGCCACCTCTAGCAGTTGAAGACGAAGAAGAGCAAGAATCTAACAACGAAGACGAAAGATTGATAACGAAGGCACAGACACTCATGGATAAGATCACTTCATCTCCGGATAACTGTAACCCCAATGTCCTTCATGCCCTAGCCTCCATCCTCGAAACCCAAGAATCAAGGTTATTTTCATTTTCTATATGTATGTGTGTGTATATATATGTGTGATTATGTTCGTACACGTATATCGTAATGAGGGTTCTTATAGTCGTCCTTGGGTTTATGAAAACTTTTGCTTTATATGGGTTTTGAAGAGTTCGGTTTATTAGGTGTTATTGGGTGTTGTGAGGTTACCATTGGGTGTGGCCTTTTTGTTTTTCAATTCACAAGAATTCATTTCTATTGTGAAATTAAGTTAAGCTTCAATCTCGAATGACCATTGTGTAATTCAAGACCTGGTGATCATTGTGTAATTCAAGACCTGGTGATCATGCTTTCAGAAGCTATGTTAAGGTTTAATTGTCATTAGTAATCATTTCTGCATTTCTGTAGGCATATAGTTAAGCACTCACGGGGATATGTGTGATTGTGGACAAGTTCGTTGATGTATTCACACAAATTTGTTTCATCTTATCTTCCTTTTCACTGTTGTGAGATAATTTTTAGAAGAGTTTCAAGATATGCTAAATAAATTTAGGAATCTGGCGTAAATATTTTTTTGTAAAATGCATTTTGTGTTCCAGTGCACTTTCTTTTGTTAAAACGTAGAAGAAGAGTGTTGATAAAAAGAAACATGTTATTGCTAGTGAGTTATTTAAAAAGCAAAGTGGCAGGTTAGTATTTTTACCCTAGAAAAACGAAGAAAGAAAAATCATACCACGAATTGAGATAATTTTAGAAATAGGGAAAAGAATTTTTATGAGTAGTCCTTTTTGTTTATAATGTTTTGATAAGTAAAGTGTATCAGTATATTCAGGGGGAAAAAAAAAAAGGGTATCCATATAGAACATCAAAAAGAGGCCTAAAGCCCATGCATACATGGCATCGCAACTTCCTCCCACTCTATAATTATTGAGGTCATCTGTGTTATTAAGTTCAATTTGGATACAACTTCTCAAGTGTTGATGTACACGCTGAACTGTCAGGTAAAGTCTGTTGGAGCAAGGGGTATGGTGCTCTTGATTGGGCTCTCTACATTCACATTGTGGAGAGCCACGTCAGCCCATTGGGATGACATGGCTCTCCATAACTGTGGCCAGCCCAGCCTACCGGTATGGTGCTGGCTGCGTTGGCTATCTCTATATATCTTAATTTGTTTCAGAGAGAGAGAGAGAAAGAGGGGGGAGGGAGAGAAATAGGAAGTGGGGCCCGCCTTTTATTTGTAGAGATTGCCAGCAGTGGTGAGTTTGCAAATATATATATATATATTTTTGTGTTGGGCCCGCCTGTTGGAGAGCCCCACACCATTGACTTGGGCTCGCCACGTGCCTCCATGAGCGCATACCGGTTGCTTTTACCGCTTGCTCTTAGTGGTTTTAACTCAAATTGAGGCTTAACGTTTTGCCTCATCTTGTCCTCACTTGCTGGCCATATTTTTTTTTCCTTCTCTTCTGACTTAATTACGTGTTCTATAAATTGATAGGGTGTGCTAAATAGCATGAAATATTCCATCATCATTTTTGCCTTAATCCCATATTCCCATATGAATGGGATCGGCTACATGAATTCTCTTGTTCTATTCTTTTCTATTACAAGCCTTCTCTCCTATTATATTTAAAATTTTAAAATCATTTCTTCGTCCTATGTTAGTCTTGGGTTACTCTCTGTCTTTTATGTCTAAGCAAACCAATCTTACTCTTTTTACTGGTGTATTTATATATGTATTTGTTGTATATATTTATACCCCCTAAGTCTACTTTTTCTTATCTTATTAACAATAGGCGCCACTTCTAGTTTCACCCACACACTTTGATCAGTAGTTCTATGTCTTTAGTCACTCCTAGTCTCTCCTACAATCCTGCTTAACATTCCCATTTTAGCTGTATGAATGCATTTTTTTTCTCTTTCCTGCCGCCCAACACTTTGCTCCTTATAAGATAGCTGTTCTAAGAACTATCATGCATAGTTTTCCTCTTAACATATTTGATATTCTTTTATGATATAAAACACCACTAGCATAGCTTGTAAGATTACTCGTTCTAGATACTATGTTTTTTTTTTTTTTTTTCCGGCTACCACTATGATAAATCTCCAAAAAAAATTATAACCTCTTCGTTTCATTTCTCGTGTCATGTGTCTTTGCTACTTTTTAAGTTGCTTAGATGATCCTCTTTAATAATATTTAACACATCGTTGGTTTTACTATGTTTGGAAGGTTTATGGGAGATTATGCGTTTTACTTGAGAAACAGAATGCTGCATCCTGTTCAGATATATCTTCTCAATAACATTCCACTAGTAGTTGTTTTTACTTATGAGTGCCTTGAATCTTGTAACTGATACAGAAATTGGATTTCAGTAGTGATCTGGAGCAAGATTGGGATCCATAGCACCCTTGCATTTCATCTCTTGATTTCCATATAATTATTTCACATTGTATATAATGTGTAACTGCAGGATTTTATTTGTTTAGTTGAAAGAGAAGCAGCTCTTTTTGGTTTTTTTTTTTTTTTTTTTTGGGGGTGGGTGAGTGGGTTGGGTTATTTTGGGCTTGTAAGATACTATCTCCATCTCTTTCTGTCTCTGCGGTAAAATTTCCACATACCATATGTTTAAAATGAACTTAGAATAGGCTGTAAGCTTTGCCTCCTACTTTAATTGCCGTTACAAAAATTTTTATGAATAATTTTTTTTTTTTCTTATATGAGTTGTGGTTTTCATACACACACACACACATAAGGAACATCAAATTGGTACTTTTATTTTTTTGGGCAGTGCATCATGCCTTGTACTCCGTAGATTTATTATTTTTGTTGTAGTTTACGACCTTTTTAAATTTCTTTTCTTTTCTTGTTTCTCTTTTTTGGTCAGTGCAGATACATGGAAGAGACGGGGCATTCCTCCTTGAATAATAGCCGGTCTTCTCATAACATCGGGCGGTTAGGGAACTTGGTTCGGGTAATTGATTCTAGTCTTGTTGACATCATACTTTTACTATTGGCTTCCTACTTGTTGCAGTTATCATTGTTTGCGTAGTTCATAGCAACTTTATTGAGTAAAGATACCTGGATTCTATCTAAAGTGGATTGTTTGTGGTTGATAAACATTCCTATCCTGAATTACCTTTTCTATATGTACAGGAGAATGATGATTTTTTCGAATTGATATCCTCGAAGTTTCTGTCTGAAACTAGATACCCAGTATCAGTCCAGGCTGCTGCTGTAAGGCTTCTTTTTAGTTGTTCACTTACTTGGATGGTAAGATGTGCTTTATTTTATTTAGTTTGATTTAGTATTGTCTTGTTTTTATACAATTTAGAACGATTTGATGAACTGTGAATGTATACAGTATCCCCATGTTTTTGAAGAAACTGTTTTGGAGAACATAAAACGCTGGGTGATGGATGAGGCAGCCAGATCTTCTGGTGAAGATCACAACTGGAAGCATGAACAGGGAAGAAAGAGATCATCAGACCATGATATGTTGAGGACCTATTCTACTGGGCTTCTTGCTGTGTGTTTGGCCGGGTATGCACCTGAAGCTGTTAATTTGTTATCCTATTCTCATGTATGCCTTTTTACTGGGTTGAAAACATTTATGGTTTTTGTTGCCTGATGATGCAGTGGTAATCAAGTAGTGGAAGATGTATTAACATCTGGATTGTCAGCCAAGCTCATGCGATATCTTCGTGTCCGAGCTCTAGGAGAGACGAGCACAAATCAAAAAGATGCTAATTATTATGCAGAGAGCAAAAACGCCTCTGCTGCTACTTGCACAAGAGGTAGAGAAGAAGGTAGAGGCAGGTTTCGGCAAGTTATGGAAGCTTCTCATGCGGATGTTCCTAGGATAATAGAGGATGGATCTTTAGATGATCAATGCGCTGAAAGAGACCATGACAGAAGCATTAGTAGGCAAGCACGTGGGGATGAATGCTGGGCTGATGGTAGTGAACCGCCTGATGGTATTGATGAAGGTGTTGATATATCTGAGGCAAATGCAGATGGCGAGGACAGATGGCATGATCAAGATTTTCATGATGGAAGGACAAAGTTTGGTGATAAAAATTGTCCCACCAGATCTGTACGGGATGAAGACTTTGCTGAGAGTGTCAGAGATGATTCCTTAAGGCGCAGGGCAAACCGTGGCTTGGCAAGATTAAGAGGAAAGGGAAGGGTCAGTGAAGGTGTTGTAGAGAATGAACAGGCTTTGGCCTCTCCAGGGTCTGGAAATAGATTAGGAGGACAGGGGCGGAGCATCAAGGAGAGGAGTCTGATTAGAAATCTAGATGCGAAAAAACTACCGGATGCCAAAAAGGGTTTGGGGAGGATCAGTTCTGATGGTTTTGCCATGGAGAGAGAGGATAATGATGAGTGCTTCCAAGAATGCAACGTTGGCACCAAAGATATCTCTGATCTGGTAAAGAAAGCAGTCAGAGCTGCTGAAGCTGAAGCCCAAGCAGCCAATGCACCTGCAGAAGCGATCAAAGCAGCTGGTGACGCTGCTGCTGAAGTTGTCAAAACTGCTGCTTTGGAGGTTAGCAGACTTCTTCTCTCTTTCTATCTTTATTTCCTTCTGATTTTTCTTTTAATCTGTATGCATAAGCTTTCACTTCTTATTTGTTCCTTACTCTATATGCCTTCAGGAATATAAAAAATCGAATGATGAAGAAGCTGCAGTTTTGGCTGCTTCGACAGCTGCATCTACTGTAGTTGATGCTGCTAATGCAATTGAAGTTTCAAGGTAGGTAATTTTGTTTGTATATGAAACATGCTTAGGGTAATTGATTGTGAGATGGAAATTATAATTATTCAGGGAAAAAGGGTGGATGTTAAATATGGCAATTGGTTGTTACATAATAATATTGTCAGGTTAACTTGGTCGGCAAGCTAATATGTTTCATGGGTTGTTGATAGGGCTTCGGGTTCTGTTGCTGCCGATTCAATGAATTTAGTGGGCACAGAACCAGAAACTAGTGAAGAAGCTGAAGAATTCTTCATTCTGGATAGTGATTCCCTTGCAAAGCTGAGAGAAAAATTCTGCATTCAGTGTCTTGTGATACTAGGAGAATATGTTGAAGTTCTTGGACCTGTACTGCATGAAAAGGGGGTTGATGTCTGTCTTGCTCTGTTGCAAAGAAGTTCCAAACATAAAGAGGCGTCAAAGATTGCAGCACTCTTGCCTGATGTGCTGAAGCTGATTTGTACTCTGGCTGCTCATCGGAAATTTGCTGCAGTATTTGTGGATCGTGGTGGCATACAAAAACTGCTTGCCGTACCAAGAGTTACTCAGACATTCTTTGGTCTTTCTTCCTGTTTATTTACTATTGGTTCGCTTCAGGTAATTACATGCAATTGTTTGGACTAATCATTAGTATTTGTGCTCTTCCATTGATTGATCTAGTTGTTAATTATTGTCCCGTTCATTCTGACCATTTACAGATTCTACTATTAGTTGTTCTCTTAATTTTTTATCCCGTTGGTTCCAACTTCATAGATTGTTCTTTCAGGGGATAATGGAACGTGTATGTGCTCTTCCTTCAGATGTTGTCCACCAGGTGGTTGAGTTAGCTCTTCAACTTCTTGAGTGCCCCCAGGATCAAGCCCGAAAAAATGCAGCTTTATTTTTATCTAATGCATTTGTCTTCAGAGCAGTCCTTGAATCTTTTGATGCTCAGGAAGGTTTACAAAAATTACTGAGTCTTTTACATGATGCTGCCTCAGTAAGATCTGGGGTTAATTCTGGGGCACTTAGACCATCTGGTGCAGTACCACTTCGAAATGATCGATCTCCTGCAGAAGTATTGACCTCATCGGAGAAGCAGATAGCTTATCATACCTGTGTTGCATTGCGACAATATTTCAGAGCACATCTTCTCTTGCTTGTGGATTCAATTCGTCCAAATAAAAACACTCGAAGTGCAGTCAGGAATATTACAAGTGCCAGGGCAGCCTACAAGCCACTTGATATTAGTAATGAGGCTATGGATGCAGTATTTCGTCAAATACAGAAGGATCGGAAACTTGGCCCTGCATTTGTGAGGGCTCGTTGGCCTGCAGTTGACAAGTTATTAGGTTCTAATGGGCATATTACTATGTTGGAGTTATGTCAGGTATGGTGTTTATATATTTCTCGAAATTTTATTGTTCTAACTTCTTGCTTCTCCTAGTTCTATTAATTTTTTATTTCGCTGTAGGCACCACCTGTTGAGCGTTATTTGCACGATTTACTTCAATATGCATTGGGTGTTCTGCACATTGTAACACTGGTACCTTACAGCCGCAAACTGATTGTGAATGCCACATTAAGCAATGATCGTGTAGGTATAGCAGTCATTTTGGATGCGGCTAATGGCATTGGCTACGTTGACCATGAGGTAAAAGCTTCTAAAGTGAATAACTTCTCTTCTTTGGGTGTGGCAATTGGATTCTTGCTGCATGTGTAGTCTTTATTTATTGATAATTCATACGTGGTAACTATTTATTTGTATTTCATCAGATAATTCAACCAGCATTGAATGTGTTGGTGAATCTTGTTTGCCCTCCTCCTTCAATCAGCAATAAACCACCTCTTGTTACACAAGGTCAGCAGTCTGCTTCTGTCCAAACTTCAAATGGTCCTCCTGTGGAGACTAGAAATGCGGAACGGAATATCTCAGATCGAGTTGTTAACATGCCGATACAAAATGAGCCGCGAGAGCGGATTGGGGACTCTAGTGTGGCAGATCGAGGTAGCACAGCAGTACTTGGTACCTCTTCTGTCAGTAACATTTTGCAAACAGCTGCTCCAACTGTTACTTCGGGATTAGTTGGAGATCGTAGAATATCTTTAGGTGCTGGAGCAGGCTGTGCTGGCCTTGCCGCACAAGTGGAACAAGGATACCGTCAAGCAAGGGAGGCCGTACGTGCCAACAATGGTATAAAAGTTCTGCTTCAGCTCTTCCAACCACGCATAGTCACACCTCCTGCTGCCCTTGACTGTCTTCGCGCTCTTGCATGTCGTGTCCTGCTTGGTTTAGCTAGAGATGATGCGATTGCACATATATTGACAAAGCTTCAGGTAGATGACCATTTTTATACCATTGACTGGTTTCATTATAGCTTCCATTATCATAGCCCGTGACATTGTATGAATACTTAACTGGTGTCTGAAATTGATAGAGACTGAAACCAATGCTTCCCAGTTCTGGCAGATGTAGAATGCTTAATTTGTTCTATGCATTATACAAGGTTTTTAGTTCATGCATTGCTTAGTATTCTGCACTTACAAGCTGATATTTGGATGAGGATAAGCTTGAATTGATTGTTGCTCTTACTGTTGTCGTCGTTGGTGGCATTATACTGCTCATAGTCATTGTCATGAGGTGATACTTGTTATCATCATTGTGATCAGGTTATCTAAGAAGCACAGAGGGCAGAGTTACGACATGACTCAATCATATTAACATGGGAAATTTTAGCAGATAAGATAAGGACACAAAATTGTAAATATATATTTTTATTTACATGATCATAAAATATAAGCACAAGTGCAGGGGTACAAGATCCCTGCACAGTGCGCACAAGTGCTATAATGTGTTGTTAATAGATGGCTTGTTTTTGTTATTGGGCCTATATTTATGACCTCAAAGATTGGCTAGACTCTAGAGAGTGATATTCTGTTGAGGCGATTAGTAGAGGGTGAGTATGGGAATGAGATGGGGGATTGGCAATCGAGAAAGGTCCTGATGGGTGTGTGTGTATGGGGGAGTAGCAGGAGGGCGTGTTGAATTCTCTTTTAGCGTGTATGGTTAGTAGTTGAAAATGAGCAACATGTTAAATTCTGGATCAATCATTTGTTTGATGTGGGGTTCGCATTTGGCCTTCCTGAACCTTCCAGAATTATAGCTGATTGTATTCTATGGTTGCGCTGACTGAGGTCCTTAGAGAGTTGGGTGGTGGGACATTCGTTTGCATAGGTTGCTGTAGGATTTGGAGTTTAGGGTGATTGTGCCTTTCTTTGACTTGTTATATGCTGTTGCAGTTGGTGAAGGAGAGGAGAATATTCTGAGGTAACGATATGTGTGAGAGAGAGGTTTTGGGTGGTGTGGGGGGCGGCATTCTTTGAGGTTCCTATTATGGGGTGCCTTGTGTGTAGGGTTGTTTGGGTTTTCATGGAAGGTGGTTTGACATGCCTAAGCTCCTCCAGTGATTTGCTTTCACGGGATGCAAGAAGATTGTCATCATTAACAAGTTTCGAAAGAGGCCTTATCTTATCAGGATAAAGAAACAATAGTCATATGCTATCAAACTGCCCCAAAAGTACGTGGTTAGAGGTTCCGTTATTTGCTCCCTCTAGTAATTTATGTGCAGATTGGCTAGAGATGTGCTTGCAAGTTGGAGAGATTGTAGTGTGGGGAGGAGAGGCTGGGCAATAAGGAAAGCATCTCCCTTTGTGACTTTGATGAAGCATACGGGCAGAGGGGAATATGAAGCTGTTTGAAGGACCGGACTGGTCAAAATTGTCTGTTAAGCACGAATATTAAGACCTTCCCCACCCCCTCGCCACCCTCTCTCTCTCTCTAATTAGAAGGGTCTCTTCTTTCTTGTTGGATTCTTTTTGAAGTTTTTGGGCGAGACAAGAGTATAGTTGGTTTGAATCCTCGTGCATACGTCTAGGGTACATGGGTTGCATCTTTTGGTTCTTTTAATGATTATAGTCACAAAAAATGGAAAAAAAGGGACACAACCTGTTACTCAAATCCTACCTTGGCTAGCCCTCAGCTCTGGTTTCTAAACCATGGAAATCCATGGGTCCCAATAGGAACATGATACAATACTGAGATCATATTTCAGCTGCTAGGATGGTGATGCAATCATGATGCCGCACTGTGGTGGCAGACCAATCTGAAGGAGATACTTGGGGTGTGCCTCGACCTAGGTAGGCATCAACACACAGTTGGATGGTCTAGAGGGGGTACCACAGGAGGTTGAGGGTAATGAAGTTCAGTCCTGTTGAAGGTCCAATTTTATCGTGTGAAAAGACTCCAATAATCCCCTTGTCTTGGTCCATGGTCCAGGCACTGCATGTGATACATTTATGTCCACAAAGAAGTTGAATTAAGTGATTGTATTCTGCATCCTTGTGGCATTTGACGGAAAGAATTTGTGGCCTGGATTGAGTAGCTATTTTGTGTGGTGCAGTTGCCTACCTTTCAAATTATGCATGAACTTTGAACAGGTTCTATGGTCCTTTTTTCTACACATAGAATATAGGTCTAAGGTGTAAACCAAACTCGTTTAAGAGCCAGAATCCTCTACAGTACAGCACACGTGGTAGTGTAGAGGATCTCAACTCATAGACATTCCCCTTTAATATTATTTGCACAAAGTGGTTGCCCATAGACTCTTAACTTGTGTTGTTACTCTAGACTAATACCAGCTTTTGCTGTTGCACCAGACAATGACCTCAATTTTCACTCCGATAATTTGATTATATACTTTAATTTGATGTTCACAGTAAAGCCACCTCCTGAAGGTGTTTGTTAAATGCAAGCAGAAGTATACTGCAGCATATTGCAAATGTGAACTACTTTAAAGTGCTTTTTTTCCCCCTCATGACAGCTTAGTTATCTGACAGGTGACAGTTAAAAAATTATTGATTATGTACTTTGCCTGGGGGAATGCCTATAGTAAGTATTGCATATTTGAGATCTCATATTTCTGAATTCAACCTCTGCTCTTTTAGGTTGGGAAAAAGCTATCCGAACTAATTCGAGATTCAGGCAGCCAGACTCCTGGAAGTGAGCAGGGCAGGTGGCAAGCTGAACTTGTTCAGGTGGCAATTGAGCTAATTGCGGTAAGTATCGTTATCAATGTAAACAACACAACTCTTCTTACTAGAAAGGGGTTGGTTCCTTCACAACAAATCAACCCACTTGAATCTTTTTTGTTGATGCCCTTGCACTTGTTCCGTAAGGCATTGAAACATATATTGGTTTACTGCTTTTTGGTAGAGTGAACGAGCATTAACAAGTTAAGCTATATGTTGTTATAAGAGATTAAGAGGCAAATCAAACTTCGATATCCTTTGATCTAATATGACAAATTTACATTGAAGTATTATTTTTGTGTAGATCGTAACTAATTCTGGGCGAGCAAGTACATTAGCAGCTACTGATGCTGCTACTCCTACTCTAAGGCGTATTGAGAGAGCTGCAATAGCTGCTGCCACTCCTATTACTTATCATTCCAGGTGCTTATTGTTTACTTGTTTCAGGGCATTTACACAATCATTCTCTCTCTCTTATCTTGATTCTTTTCTTTATTTTTTTGTTATTGTTATTGGTATCGTTATTGATATTGTTCTTATTCCATTGCTATTTTTACTTTAAATTGTTTTTTGTTTGTTTTAATGTGTGGCATGTGCATTTTGATTTCAGGGAACTTCTACTTCTTATCCACGAACACCTACAGGCATCTGGTTTGGCAACGGCTGCGGCAACACTTCTACAAGAGGCCCAGTTGACTCCTCTGCCATCTTTGGCAGCCCCATCATCTCTAATGCATCAACCCTCTGGACAGGAAACCCAGTCAATACAAATTCAATGGCCACTACGTACCCCAGGTGGATTTTTCTCCAATAAATCTAAACTTAATACGCGAGATGATGATTCCAGCTTGAAGCGTGATTCAGTTGCGTCATCAAAGAAGAAACCACTAGCTTTCGCATCTACCCTAAATCACCTGCACTCAAGCAGCATGACGAACAGTACTTCAAAAAAGTCCTCCGCACCTGCTGGCACACCAGAAACTCCTTCAGTATGTGCATTGAAACCTAATTTGGATGCAGACACTCAGTTTAAAACTCCAATTGTATTGCCAATGAAACGCAAGTTAACAGATCTGAAGGACACTGGGTCGTTATCAGGTAAGCGACTCAACACGGGGGAGCATGGACTTCGATCTCCAGTTTGTCCAACACCTAACTCCATCCGTAAAGGCTGCCTAGTGACCGATGCTAATTTGCTTTCCACACCTAGTTCTATTGTCAAAGATCATTTTGGGCGGCTGGTAACAAATAGTTCTTTAGCTGATAATTTGGATGATAACCAGTACAGTAACACTCATATGGCTCAGATGACACCTTCATTCCAGCTTGGACTTCTTAATGATTCACAACCTACCATCACAGAAAGGTTAACCTTGGATTCTCTAGTTGTCCAGTATCTGAAACACCAGCATCGACAGTGCCCAGCTCCTATTACCACATTGCCTCCACTCTCTCTATTGCAGCCACATGTCTGTCCAGAACCAAGACGAAGCCTTGATGCCCCGTCGAATGTGACAGCCCGACTTAGTACACGTGAGTTTAGGAGCATGTATGGTGGGATTCATGGAAGTCGTAGGGATCGCCAATTTGTTTACAGCAGATTCAGACCGTGGCGAACTTGCCGGGATGATGGTGGTGCTCCTTTGACATGCATAACTTTCCTTGGAGATTCCTCTCAGATTGCTGCTGGCAGCCATTCTGGAGAGCTCAAAATTTTTGACTCCAACAGCAGCAATGTGCTGGAGAGCTACACTGGCCTCCAGTCTCCCTTGACAATTGTTCAGTCGTATCTTTCTGGAGAGACCCAGTTGGTTCTCTCTTCGAGTGCTCATGATGTACGTCTATGGGATGCATCTTCAGTTTCAATTGGGCCTAGGCATTCATTTGAAGGGTGCAAGGCTGCACGGTTTAGCAATTCTGGGACCACCTTTGCAGCACTTTCATCAGAGCAATCCCGACGTGAAATTCTTTTATATGACATCCAAACATGCCATTTGGATCTGAAGCTGACAGACACATCTGCCAGTCCTTCAAGCCGGGGTCACTTGTATTCCCTCGTTCAATTTAGCCCTTCAGATAATATGTTGCTGTGGAATGGAGTGTTATGGGATCGACGGGGTTCAGGCCCTGTCCATCGCTTTGATCAATTTACAGACTACGGGGGTGGTGGCTTTCATCCTGCTGGGAATGAGGTACGGAGAACCTGACCCTGCTAAAAAATATTTTGGTATTTTCTTTTCTGAAATTAGGTTGGTCACTGAACATGGCATATGGAACTCACTACAAAATAAGCCTTGATGATCACAACAATTTTAGTAGTTCTAGATGCAATCTTTTTTTCTGAGAATTAGTTCTTATTGCAACTTGTAACCTTACAAGTTTATATCTATAACTTGGTCTTTTTGAATTTTTGTTAAAAGGTGTATATATTAGCAAATGATTTTTTAAGTTGAAATGGTAGCTGATGTTGGCAAATTTTGGGGTGGAGCAAATGTGAGAAATGTTTGTTGGGTCTTCTATAGGAGCTGTGACTTATTTTGCCTTCTTAGTAATTCCTCCCTTGCTGAGTGTTGATAATAACATTATTCTGCTACTCTGTGTTCATGCTAACTTGTTGCACTGCACATTTTGGCTATAACTTCTTTCTTTTTTAAACAGGTAATTATAAACTCTGAGATTTGGGATCTTCGGAAGTTTAGGCTCCTCCAAAGTGTTCCTTCCTTGGACCAGACGGTAATAACATTTAATGCCAGTGGGGATGTAATATATGCTATTCTAAGAAGAAACCTTGAAGACATTACTTCGGCATTTAACACCCGGCGTGTTAAGCATCCCCTCTTTAATGCTTTCCGCACGGTAGATGCTGTCAACTACACTGACATCGCCACTACTTCTGTAGAACGTTGTGTCCTTGACCTTGCAACAGAACCTACTGATTCCTTTATTGGGTTGGTCTCAATGGATGACCAAGAAGAGATGTATTCTTCAGCTAGGGTTTATGAAATTGGTCGACGGAGGCCTACAGATGATGACTCCGATCCTGACGATGCTGAGAGTGAAGAAGAAGACGAAGATGATGAGGATGTGGATGAGGACCCAATACCAGACCTTGATATGGATGGTGATAGTGATGCTGATGATATGAGCAATGATGATAGTGTGAGCGATCTAGATGATGACGATGAGGATGAAGATGCTGATTTTATCATCGATGATGTAGACTTCGGTGGTGGAGCTGGAATATTGGAGTTCATGACCGAGGGTGACGAGGATGATGACAGTGGGATAGTTGAATCTCTCAGTAGTGGGGATGAGGATGATTTTGTTGGCAATGGTTTTGGCTTCTAAATGTTATACAGTTATATGAATGGCAGATATTGTATTTATAGTATTTGTAGATGTAATTATGTTTATGGGTCTTAGGGAGAGGAAGAGGGATGATTCTTTTAATTTGAGGAAAGTGAATTGTCAGATCAAAATTTACTTTTTAGGGTTTCTTTTTTTCCCCACTCAATTACTGGGTTCAAGAAACTTGTGAATACCGATTTGAATGAAAATTTTGAATTGGCTCAGATTTTTCCTTAGATGGGTGTTATCAAACTCACAAACATAAAATGTGAAATGCAAATTTCTTTTTGAGCAAGCAAGGGATAGGCTCAAAGAAAGCATATTGCACATGGAGCTTCTCTCTCGAGTCGATGGACTCCATCACAGGGAGTCTCTCTCTCTTCCCCCACCCCCAACGCCAACGAGTAATGCTTATAGAAAAATATTTATTTGGCAGCCAGTCCATGACATATAAATAATTCTTAAACAAAAATAACTAGCAAAAGGTTGAATTCAAGTTATTTAGGCAGTTTGATGCATTCGTGTGGGAATAACTCGCAATTTGATGCATTCGAGTCATTTTTAAGAGTTTGATGCATTCAATTAATTTTTAAATAAATAACTAAAATAACGTTAAATCATGTAAGAGAGTTTTAAATGATTCATGTAAGAGAGTTTTAAATGATTCTTAACCAACAAACTAGCACAATGTTAAATTGCAGTCATTGTCACACATTTGATACATTTGTGGGTTCTTAAACAAAGAGCTAACATAATGTTAAATCATAGCCATTTGCACACATTTGATACATTCATGTGGGAGTATTTTAGGGTTCGCTGTCCATTTGATGTGGGAGGGTTTTAGCCTTATCTGCCATTTGATATTTGTTCATGTGGGACCTTTTACATGAATGCATCAAGTGGCTACAAATGGATCGGCCAGCGGCTAAGATACTGGATGATTGCCACACATTTGACACATTAGCTTGCCAAATTAGTCATAAAGTCCCCATGCGCATTCCAACCCTCTCTCCCCTACCAAGCACGTATAAATAGAGGAAGCAGAGGCATGTGTTTCATTTCTCATTTTCTACCGTAGGTATATAGAGAGAGAAGCACCGAGTTCTCTGCTTCACTCCTGTTCAATTACGTGCATTTCCGTGTATGATATGATATGGAAATCTTCTCAGAAAGCCCTAAATCGTTCAAGATCGATCGAAAATCTACCCTAGCTTCGAAGCTCAAATCATCTATTTCCAAGAAACTTTTCGAATTCCTCGGCAACTACACAGACGACGTTCTTGCTGTACTAACCCCCCTCTCTCTCTCACACACGCACACACAAATGCACTGGAAGTAAGATTTTGTAAAATGACTGTAATGTTATTTTCAATTGTTGACTGTGTTTGGTTGCCGAGAATGTTGCGGAAGTTGAAAAGAAGATTAGGGTTTATATCATAAATTATTGTCTCTCTAGTTTCTCGACAAACAAACTGAACGTGAATGATGTTAACTTTCCAATGCAAGTGCTGAAAAATTTCAGCATACGTAATAAGAAAAATGCTACTAATATGTGAACCTACCGATCGATAAATTTGTGCTTCTTGTTTATATGCTGCTAGTATGTGCATTGACCAGTCGGTGGATGCTTGAGAATTTAAATGGCTTCTCTGTAAACCTAGCTTTATTTTATTTTTTTCCTCCTAAAACATTTTTTCATTCTCAGACTTGAGCTTTCATACTGTTGTGAGTATTTGAAGTGGTAGGAAAGAATGACTCTCCATGGCTTTCTATGTTAATTGTAAATGGATTGATGCTTGCAGTGGTCAGAAGCTTTGTTAATTTTTTACTAAAAATACTGTTAATTCATGCCAATGGATGAGTTTGTGACTTAGGAAGAGAATATTCTTCTTCTGAAAGCACTTTTTCTGCATTAGCAGCCTAAAATATGATATGGCTATTATTCAGAAAAAAGATGTGATTGGGTTGCTTGGTTTAAACTTTAAATTAATCTAGAGCCTTCCCAACGAAAAATCATGACACTCTTTTCATCATTATTTTCTCATCTTTGCCGCAAAATTCTGGGGAGATTATTGTCTCAATGCTTGGACAAGCTTCCAGAAACTGGAAACTTTGGCCTTTAATCTTCCCTTTTTTATATAAAAGCTCTTAAAGGATCGAGAGTGAAGGGTCTTTTAGTCTGAATTTTATTGGGCTTGATAAGAGCAATAATGCCAATAACACTTTAAGCATCTTCAACTCTCAAACAAAATGGCGGATTTAAGTCAGACAGCTCAAAAGTTTCCTAATATTTTTTTCTTCATAGATAGACTGATTCTTCCTAATATCTTTGGAGGTTCAGGAGTCGTTTGGCAAAACTTTCCTTTTTACCCTCCTAGTTGAAGACTTTTACTTTGAAACTTGAGGAAGTACCACTAGGCTACAACCCTTAGTCATTTGGCTAAACTTTGAAAAGATTGTAGAATTGTTGCTTATTAATCTGGCAATTCTTTAAATTTTTCGTATCTCATAAGCTTATTTTATCTTGTCTGGTAAACTTGGTAATTTTTTTTTGATCAAATGAAAATCTATTTAAGAACTTCTAAAATGCCTTAGATATAGAACTTATTGGACCCGGAGACCTTAAAAGTTTGCTACCTTGTTACCATAATTCAAGCCCATCATAGTGTCCTTGCATCTATGTTCTTGTCATCCTAAATTTTATTATCTGAGTTCAAATTTTGGTACAACTTGGAAGTCCATATCTAATCTGAATATGTACAGATAATCTTGGGCTGACGAGTATGAGGACGCTATGTTTGACCTAAAATATTAGGTTTGTCTCTAATATTACACTATAAGCGCCCCACATAGTGGGACACATACAGGGTAATGCACTTTTTGATCCAATAATATTTGGTTATCATACTTTTGGGTTTCAAGTGAATTGCTGGTACTATAATTTGTTGATCATAGGACATTATTTCAGTTGAGACCAGGTAAGTAGACCTCCTTAGACTTGTTTACAGGCCTACTCTAAATGATGCTGACTTGTTTCTGAAAAGTAAAAAATTCTGGTGGACCCATCCTCGTAATGGTCAGATAAAAATAATGCACTGCAGATTGATCTATATAACAGGGTATATTACATTCTGATATTTTCTTTCTATTTTCAGGAGTATATTACAGTTCTTGTATGTAATGGGAAGCATCAGAATCAGGCAAGAGATAATCTGGAGGTATTTCTCGGGGAAAGGAGTGGGGAATTTGTATCTTGGTAACTTTTTCTTGACCTTTTGATTATTTTCAAATCTTCATCGAAAATACAAACTCAACATTTAATTTCAATAGAGGTTTCTTGAATATATTCATTGAAATTACGTGTTATTTATAGTTACTATATTATTTGAATTTTGCTTTTTGCTTCTTGGTGAGGAAATTGAGAAGCATGCTTGTGTTTGACCAAGATATGATGTTTAAAAAAAGCCATTACCCAGTGTTGATCCCTGTTAAGTAAGGGTAATAGGAGTAGTAGACTTTGCACAAATAGAGCATTCAACATTATTTGCAGTAAATTGTGTAATGTAGAAAACTTTAAAAAATATTGCCACAATAATGATTTTGCCTGAAATGGTGTAGAATTGCATGTGCTATCATGTCCAACACGTGAAAAATTCTAATATTTTATTTCCTTATCACAAGGATCATTTTGTTTTTATTGGCTGAATATTGTAGTCCAATCATTTTTCCTTCTCTTGTGTATTTGTGCAGGCTGTGGGACTTTCTCTTAAAATATGGCCATCAATCAGATTCAACCATTGGTTTATCAAACACAAAAGACGTCCCTGTGACCAGTCCCTGTATCAGTCATGCAAACAGGGAGTTGAGAAGCAGCAGGTCGCAGGACCATCAAAATCACAACGGTGGCAACACCGATAGCTCACTGGTAATAGTAGTATTATTTATGCATTTTTTCCATGCAAAATACTCTCCAATATTTTGATAAAATGTTACTTATCAAAAAAAATATTTTGATAAAATGTTAATAATACTGTTGGCAGACCAAAACTAGGAAATTCTATCAGCCTTCTACGGATGTGTGTAATCCTTTTCCTTCAAGTGATATGGTTTCTGCTGAAGGTTTTCAATATCTCAAACGTTCTGTTGGTGCTTTTAATGGGGTAAATTTCAATAAGGTTCAATTGCAGAAACAAAGAAGTGGGATTCTGAGGGAAGTTGGCGCGACTAAGAATATTCATGATAATTCCTTAATGCATGAACCTATTGGAATGGGAGGCTCTTCTGTGACTCCAGTTGGAGTTGAGCTAAGCACTCAGTGTCTGGATAAATCTAAGAAGGTTGGTAAAGCTGAACTTTTTTTCGTTCTCCTCCCCACCCAACACCCCCTTCCGTTTTTCCTTTTTCAGAGTTTTCAGTTAATCCTAATTCATAGCCCACCTGACTCTTGTATTGCCATTGTATGGCAGATTGTTGATTCTACTTGTGATGAGTTTCCTGATCATCTTTTGTGCTTACCTAAAAAGGAAACAATTTTCAGAAATATGCAGTCTTCTGTTGCAGGTACATGTGAAAGCTACCAATATGTGGATCTGCATGCTGACTTCTTTACGCATGCATGAATTATGAACATCTATGTTTAAGTTTCTTCATGTTAAACTTGAACTGAAATATAATGCGTTTAAGCATGTATCAAATATGGGTCCAACACATCAAGATAAGTGATCCTTTCCATGTGCAGAGGGTCCTTGCACTAGAAGAATTCATGCTGCCAATGTTTCTGCAAGTTCTTCTCCAAGAGAAGTTGGTTCAGTATCCAGTGGGAATAAAAAGTCACGGGGCAGTGTGTGGGACAGATTGGGCAAGCCTTGTGAAAACTCCTTCGTCAGCAAAAAAATCGACACGCATGGTGTTGATGTTATTGAGCAAGATCAGAAAACATTTGATGAGCATACAATATTGCGTCCTGATCTTAATGGGGAACTTGGTGAAAGAATGAAAAGTGAAGCTAATAAGCTTGATAAGAGGTGCAGTGTTAACAATTCTGCTGAATACCAGAAAATGGAGCACTATGCTGCAATAAGCGAACTTCATGTTGCGAATAATAATAGGCGGAAGAGACACTTCACGGAGAATACAACTGGCCCCAATTATTTTTCCGTTTCGTTGGTGGGTGAGAGTAACATGGATTCACAATATAAAAGAAATTCAAGGAATTCTAAAAGATCAAATTTGACCTCAGAGAAGTCAGAATCTGTTAAACCCGTTCTGGTTTCAGTATGTCCTCTTTTTGCTATTACTTTATTTCCTGTAAAATAGAAAACTTCTTGGTGCGATGGTAAATTCTTGTGCTGAAATACTGCTTGACCACGAAGTTTATGCATGCGCAAACTGTGACATCAACTTACTCCAAAAAAGGAAAAAAATAAATTGCTTTCTTGCTGTATTGTATCTCAAATATATCATGGCAGAGGGTTTCATTTGATCACTATGTTTACATGTCCTGGCTGTATTCTCATGCAGCAAGTGCAAGATGTGAAAAAAAGGTTGCATCAAATTGAAGCGGAAATGTCTAAGTTGCGGTCCAAGCAGCTCGGGATGAAAAAAGATGGTGAACCTAATGTATTATCAAATACTGGTGAGGCATCATCCATAATTGAATGACTTTTTGAAGTTATAATCATAAGAATGCCTTGTGCACACATGCATATATATTATCTTTAGTTTTGTATGTAACAATTTTCTAAACAAGGCTGTATGTTGAGAAGGGTATGATACACTTTTGGAATGGGCATGAATTACTTCTGAGCTGTCAACGGGGCAGGATTTCTAAGTCAGTAAATTCTACGGATTTGCTGATTTGTTAACTTCTCTATCATTTAAATAAAATTATTTAAAAATCAAAGAATTTAAATTTCCTTGGAAATGATCGAGAACAATGAAATGTTCCTTTCACTTTCTTTTCATCCTTTGTTTCCTCTTTTACATGCTTATAAATCGATAGCCACTATTTTGCATCCCAGCATTATATTGGCCTAGACAGATTAAGTTTTATCTGAGTGACACTATTTGGCATCAAAATTTGTGAATTGCTCTATTCAAACTTTTGATACTTTGAAGGCACAGCTTGTTTCATGTTGATCTAAAGCATCATCCAATGAAGCATGCCGTAATTTTTTTCATTCTTGAGAGTTCAGATATGCAAATTCTTCACTTTGGTTGTTAATCTCCGGATCTCACTAGATGAAAAACTGCAGAATATGTTCACTTAGCCTGGATAGTTGACATTGATGTTTTATGTATGCTGTATTGTATCTAAAGGCTCGTCATTGAGCAGGAAATTATTTCACTTATGCTTTTGCAGGTGCAATGAAGCTTTCAGAGGAAGATGTTGAGTCGAGAACTGTATTTGTGACTAATGTAAACTCAATAAGACATTTTCCTTGTGCATTCTTACAATTGTTTCTTGCTTATTTTTTGATACAGTTGTGTGGATAAAGCAAACTTCATTTTCTGCATTTGCAATCTATTAATGCTAGTGAGGTCATATAGAGGTTCAAGCTCATCATAGGCCTTTGTTGTACATGTACCTATGTGTCTTCAAGCTTGAGAAATAAATATACAGCTACTTCAAACTCATGGAACTGCCTACCCCTTTTTAGGCCTAGGCTCCAAAAAAGCCCCAAGCTCGTCAAGGCTCAGCTAGAGCGCCTATCCCGAGTATAGACCAGGCCCCTTCAGTCAAGCTCCAATAAATCCCGTAGGATTCTTTATAGAAGGCTCTAGGGCAAAAAAAAGGCGCACCTTTTATATCATATCATGATCATCTTTAATGGATCATATTGTTCAACTTTATAAAATATTTAATAAAATTCATAACTTCATGGTTCACTACTTACATTAAAAGCATTTAGTGCTTGATTCTGAATATTAATGATAAGTATGTTTAATGTTTGCATGATTAAAGTTTTTAATTGTTTCAGATTTGTAATCATGTTTAATTTGGCTAATGTATATGCATATGAAAGGATTTATGAGTATTAATTTACATGATCCTCTTGGTTGATATATAAAAAATTCCATTATTATGTGTGTTGCTTATCTTGAATTGTTCCGATTGTACATTGATTTATTGAATACATTTGCAAATAGAAAAGATATATGTATGTTGATTTAGTTAGTCCATTGAATTGGTATGTTGAAAGAATCCATTATTTTGGTATTTACAATTTTGTGGTGCATAGTTTAATTATTCTTTGTATACTTATAATTAATATGCATTATTACACAAGTGCCTTACTTTGATCAAGCTCGTGTATTCTATTGCGCCTCGCGCTTAGGCTCCAGGAGACCTTTGGGGACTTAGTGTGCCTTGAGCCTTTGACAACTATGCCCTTTTAGGATCCGTAAGTAAAAGTTTTTGCTTGCAGAGCTAGTAATCTTAATAATAGAGTTCATCTTTATATCCTGTTTATTTAATACAACTTTGGTAGTTGATGCGTAACGTTTCCAGCATCCAGGATATCAGATTTTTAGATGACAATATGTTATGGGAGAAGGAGAAAAATAAAATACTACATGTGGGTTTCAGTGGAAATCCGGCACAAATTTCAATGCAGTTCTGGTGTCGAAATTTGTAATTTGTGGGAATCTAAGATTAGATGGATGTTCACTAATTCAAGGTTATTCTTTTAGAGGCAAGGTTGCCGGGAAATTCCTCAAATAATTGCTTCATAGTCAGGTGTGCATTTTGTAGAGATTTGGATTTTTTTTGTTTAAAAAGAGAAAAGAAAAAGGAAAAAAAGGCTGTGCTATGTCAGTAGGAAAATGTTGAGAACGGCTCTAAAATCATGGCTATAAGGGATGTGAATGGGATTGGCTAGAATTTGATATGTGGTGAATAATCGTTGCTTAAAGACCTAGTCTGTGGTTCTGCAGTTTGGGCCAAAGACCAGCCCTATATCCTATGGCTTGTCTAATAGAATTGGATGGTTCTCTCTTGCTTTTGTCAGCCATTCTGACTGGCCAGTCCCTACTTTGACAATGCAACATGATGGATTAGTATTAAGGATGAGTTTCTTATATTGATTTAGTATTATATGTGTTCTTTTTCTTAGATGTTTTGAGTTTTAGTACAACTTTCTCTTCCTGTTTTGTGTTTTTTCAAGTTGTAGACAGATTAAATAGAAGGGGTTTAGTATATAGGGTCTCTATAGAATTGATTTTGCATCTTAAAAATCCCTTTAGTTCTTGTGGTCAAAAGTTATAATCCAGCACCGACAGTTATAGCTTGAAAGCAATACTTTACTGCCCTGTGGCAAGTTGAGTGTTGTTGGTGCTCCCTTTGCAGATGGTCAAATAGGAAACTGTGACTTTTTCAGGGATGATTTTTTTTTTTTAATGCATTCCTTTCCTGATGGTAGGGTTGTTCTTAAAACTATTAACTTCAGTTTTATTTTTGAGGGAGATTCTTCTATTGTCTAAAAGACTAAAAGTACTTTCTCAAGGCCCTTGGTGGTATTCTTATAAGATGTATGTTAAATTATTTAACCTCATTGTTGCGTCTTCTTTTTAATATGTTCTTTCTTGCACCAAATTTTTAATGAAAGAAATTTTAGATTTTTGTCCATTAGAAAAGATGAAAATTTTGGAAGGTCTAGCAACGAGATGGTGGTTTCTATATATTATATGTATCCCATTGGTTGAAAAACGAAAACCATTTTGAAGGCCATCCTTCATAAGAATCAGACATGTTGACTTGATTTGGGGGCGATGAGAGTTGATCATCCAGCTCTACTGATTTCTGAACCCAGAGTAAAGTGGTTCTATAAAAACAGTGTATATTTCAGTCCAACTAGTATTGACTTGAACTCTCTTTCAACCTGCTATATACCTGTTATCGTCATCTCATCATGAGCTCTCTATAAAAACAGTGTATATTTCAGTCCCAACTACTGATTTTCATCTTTTGCTAGCTTTAATTTGTACTTGCAGATGTTTCAAAGGCTCATGCCATTTGACTATTGGAATATCAGGTACATTTTGCTGCAACAAAGGAGGCTTTATCTTTGTATTTTGCCCAGTGTGGAGTAGTTCTTAACGTTGTCATGATGACTGACGGATTGATTGCCCAACCAAAAGGGTGATTTCTATTTCTCTACCTATTCCATTTAGCTATAAACAAGTACTATATTTTGTTTATCATTTTCTATCTCGAGTCTCTTCTGGATAATGATGTAATTTTTTATTCCAATCTAGGTCTGCTTACATTACTTTTGCCAGCAAGGAGTCAGTTGATAAAGCCATGGCATTGAGTGGGACCTCATTTTTCTCAAGGACTCTGAAAGTATGCAGTTCGGTATCTTAAAAAGATTATTTGTTAATAAATACAGAATTAAATAAAAGATTGAAAGAAAATAAATAATCGAATAAAGTTCAGGAGGAGCGTTCTTTATTGCAGAATGGACCTTGTTTGATAGACTCACCTAGTATCGGAACCATTTGAGCATATAGTGCGTGTGCAATAAAAGCAGATTTCGGAACATATCCTTTGTTCTCTCTTTATTTATATATTCTATTGCAATTGTATGCCATCCAGAATAGATAGAGCCAAGAGAATGATCAATGGTATCAGCTGGACAGGAAAGGGTATTGCCAGAGATAAGATGATCTTACTAGGATTAGTAAATCTGATGGGTGGGCTAACTTAATAATTGAAAATCATGAGCCTTGGTGTTGGATTCCTTTTTGTTTATTGCTTTTGTCATTGCCCTTGTTGTCAATCTTATTAAAAATAAATTTTGTGCAGGTTATGAGAAAGGCAGATGAAGCTGCACCAACCCAGCTTGCTGCGAAGCCATCACGAGCACAATTACCACGGATTAACCGAAAAGCAGTCACTGGCAGACCCTTTTATGCCAGTTATCATCTTAAGTGGCGGCGAGAACCTGTTCCTGCTGCATCTGAACCATCAGCTTCAACAAGCGACGAGGACAGAGTTGGTGCTTGTGTCTCCCAGCAGCAGCCTCCGAGTTCAGTTGCATCAGTAATGACCACACAAGCTGCTGCATCTTTGTCAACTGAGGAGGCTCCCATAGCTGCCTAATATCTCGGGGCAGAAACCTAACAGTGGGATTGGATTTTTTGTTCATAATGAGGGTTATTGACATAATTAGTGAAGGGGTTTGACTCAACTGATGCCACTATGTAGGTAGTTGCGAATTTAGTATACCATAATCAATCAAGCTGATTGTATGGACCTTTATAATACATATGCTAAATGCGATTTTGTAGCACCTTTTTATTGTTTCAGCAATAGATTTTAGCACAGGATTAATAATAATCCTATTCTACTCGGGATTTATTTATTCAATTCTAACTCTTTCCTAATCCAATTCTAATTCTCTTTACACTCCTAAAAACGAAGGAATTAAAACAAAGTTTAGGCTTGCTTGCGTAAGAAGAATATGGAGTGGAGTTACCAAAGTCTAGGTTTCTTCTTATAAGGCCTAAAGTAAGCATTGTTCATTAAAATTATACGTTACACATTTGTTACTGTTGTAATATGTTGGGTAAACGTGCAACTAGATTAAGCAAAGAGCAGTCTTGGCCAAGATCAACTATTCCATCACTTCGATTCTGAAATTGGGATTCCTCCAGCATTGCCCTTCCTCCAGAAGTATTCTCAATAATTGAAATCTGTCGCCCTCTTGCTACCGCCCTCCCCCAAGACCGCCGGACTGATTTCGCGCCTGTCATCCTTCATTAACAGCTAACAAGGCCGTTAATTGTGGTTATTAGCTTAAAATTTGATCCCCGACTATATTTCCCAGGTTTGGCCTAATTTTGGGCTTCTTTCCTGTCCCAGTTTTTGAGTATTTGGCCAAATGGTCGACATTGTAATTATACTTTATTCATTTATTACAGTTGCTTAAAATTCCCCAAAAAAAAAAAAATAAATAAATAAACTTTTGGTGGTCAACTGACATACCAGTGGAGTTTGAGTTCCATTTTTTCAGAGAAATGGGGCTATTACAAATAAATGATTTTTTACAGTTGGACTATTTACCTTTTTCACGCGAGATGACCAAATTACCATTTGACTACTCACTTTACCAAAGTCTTGATACTCTCTCGCACGATCTGATCTGCACACACCACCACACCCACATTCGAAACCCTAGCTCTCAGCAGAATGAACTGCTCGCAAGTAACTCTCGCCTTTCATATACATCTTTGATACACACACTTTTATCTTCACTTTGATCTCTGATTCGCCTGTTTCACTCTGTTCTTACAGTCTCAGGCGAGGTGCCGGAAAGCCGGTGGTTTCGAGGAAGTCTGGGTTTCTGTTCGTGAAGCGATTAATAGAGAGACATATATCGGTATGTTCTTCTTCTTCTTCTTCTTCTTTCTTTTTTCCTGTCTTGCGTGCTTTTCAATATGTTTTGTTTGGTTAGTGAGAAAACCGTAGGAAAAATGAAGAGATTAAGCTTCGGAATCTTACACGTTTCATTTTGAAGTTCTCAGGTTTGCTTTACTCAGCTTTCTAAAATCATTCGCCCCTGTAGCAAACCCACCATATTCAATCTTTCAGTTTAATCAATCACTCTCAATAGGTAAGATTGTTCTGCACTCTACTCTGTGCATATATAATTTATGTAAACCTTAATTTTAACCCTAAATTTGTAAATCCTTAGTTTTAGCTTATGAAAATCTAACTAATATGATTATCTAATTTCTCTAAATAGTCGTTCCATTTGAGCTCCAAGCTCATATAGTGTGTGTTGCGTGAAATGGCACCGGGAGGGATAGATGTCAGCTGCTCTGCCTCAAAGGAAGAAGTATTACCGGCTAATGTTGTTGTCGGCATGGACTGTTTGGGAATCGATGGAGGAACATCTTCTAATCTGATTCTAATGGAAGCTCCCAGAGTGACAAGGAAGATGACGAAGGTGGTGTGCAAATCAACTGCTTTTCCGAAGAGTCGGATAGTGTTACTCTCCACTTTCAGATCATACGTCTTCAAAAACAGGTTGGTTTTCGTCATTGAACCTTCCTTTCATGACTTGATTGCAGTGTCATCACTTATACAACCATTAATTTGATTATTCAATGATTTTTTTCTGCTTTATATTCGGATTCAAGCAATTTTCTTGATGCCCCATTTCACAATTGTTGGAACACTCTTATTGTTACTTGATTTTACCTGTTGAGGGTGGTTGTAATTTACTTTCGGAAAAACACAGATTATTGATGTGGTGTATGCGAAGCATTGCTCAGATGCAGTAAAATTACCCAATATAAGTAGTCAGGTTCGTATTTGTGTTTCTGTTTTTGTGTCAAAAACTAGATATTGTGTGATTATGTAGATTATATGCAGCTTTTATTTCCTATGTAAGTTTACATTTATCATACTTTGTCACTGGATTATTATGTACTTTAACCAATCTTTTTAAATTTGGACTGTCAATGTGCTTACAGATACATAAAGAATCAAGTGAAATTGATTCTCCAGGTCTAGTTTTTTGCTTTTGATTTTATGTTAATGTTGCCAAATTGAATTGACTTCATTTTTCCGAGAGATTATTAAAAGTCAAAGTGTCTAGATATTTCTTGATGCTGGCAGGAACTGTGTTCTGGATTGTGGGAGATGATTCTATTGACACTATATGAAAAATCACTTATTCTGAGGATACCACGTCAAAAGTCACTTTAACTAATCAATAATTTTATTTTATTATTATTATTATTATTATTTTTTTTTTTTGTGCGTCAAAAGTCACTTTCAGAAAGCTCGTGGCACCCTGAACCATTAGGCATTTGTTTTAAATGAAACTAACTTTGTGCGAACAAAAGAAATCAGCATGATGCACATTAGAACTCACAATTATCTAATATATAAATTTTTTTTTTTACTGTATTTATTTCTCTGTCTTCATTTTGTTTTTTTACTTGCTATGATATCATAACTGATACAAAGTATTACGCAGTCCTAAAAAGGAAAATAGGAAACTACTCAATGCTCCTAAACACATTTAAAAAAAGACTTTCTAGTCAGTTCTTTAGCTTTCTTCTCTCTGGTGGTTCTATTTTCTATACTGTTTTTGTAGATATATGCATGGATCGGTTGCAACTCAGCCAATTTCGGAAATTTATATGCCGCTCTGCTGGCAAGACCTGTAAGTTGACAATTTCTACATCATGCCTTTCTGCCATTCATTGTTGATTCTTTGGGATAAGATTTTCTATTATTTCAGCAAAAGTTTCAATATCTAAAGTTCAATTTTGATAATTTAGAGAGGGAATTATAAATAACTCCATGTGTTGATAATCTTGCCATACTTGCTTACAAATGTTCAAATCATCTGTCATTATTATTTGATTTGTCATCATCATCTTATAGTTTAATGGTTATGCGCAGAAAAACACAGTTAGTGTTACTTCCATAATTGGGGGAGCTTCTGATTATACAGGATCTGGCATTGCTCGTCGATTAGGTAAAATTGTGATATGCATTAATTACTATCACAATATTTTATTTGGGTTCATGGGCTGACATGCAACTGTCCTCACAGTTTTGAAGACTGGTCTAAATGTCATATTGGCTTGCAACATACCAAAAAACAGCCCCATGCTTGAGCTTTAATCTCTCTCTCTCTGTGTCTCTCTCAATGTGTATATGAACAATATAAATTTGCATAAATATTTTATTTCTCAAGTTCTATTTATTCCATATTTTGTGATGTTTAGCTATTAACAAACTGACTTGATAGTGTGGATTTCATCAATCAGCCTTGTTTGGGTGCATGCATAATTTAGCGTGTTGGATGTTCTTGTTCCTGGCTGTAATACATTGTCTGGCCTCTTTTTTCCTTAAGGTGGTTTTCAGGCAGATGCTGAGAAAAAGCTGGTGCAAAAACTAATCAATCTGGGATACGCTAGGCCAAAATCCAAAGGATGACCTTAGTAGCCGGAAGCTGAGACTGGTATGCTAAACATGAAAGATACAATTAGTTTGTTTATACTTTATAGCGATTCTGCTGGCACTGTGATACCCACTATAGCCCAGGAAACTGCAACCAGGAGTTCTGGCACCATTGATGGATCATGCTATAGTGTTTTACATTCTGGTATTCCTTTTTCCGATGATCCTGTGCTTTAATGTCCTGTTTGCGTTAAGTTCAACTGTTGGTAACAAGGTCTTGTTACATAAAACTCTTACAAGGTTTAGTCTGTACGCTGGCTTCTGTATAACTGAACCATTGTTGGATACTGTTGAAGCTCTCTTCCTTCTTACACGGGTCATCGATATAATTGCTCTATATTTAAAGGGTGCAACTGGAATTGTTAGTTTGCTTATGCGCAGTCTTTCTTAAGTTGTGATGCGCTTCTTGGAAATGTGTGTGTTTTTCGGTTTAAAAAAAAAAAAAGGTCGTCACCCATTATTAGTACCCACCTATGTGGGTTTCTTATTGGAAGTGTTTCTTTTCTTCTTTTCATTTTGTGCGCGCGCCTGCTCTCGTCTTCCTAGGGTGTAAAGACTTGTCATGGCAAGCGATTCATTGAGGTACCATGTAGCAGCAAATCACAACAATGGACAATCAGCTTGCGGTATGTGTAATTTAAAGGCAGAGCGAAAGCCTAAATTACTAAGCGTTTGAATGATTTATCCTTCAGTTGTCGTTGATTGTCTTAAGAATAAGTATTCATTTCCTCCTTTTCAGTGTCACAGACGTTCATTGTATTATAATTTTCCTGCTTTCGGTGTTTGGAGATGTTCCTTGTATAATAAGGTAGAAAGGATAATGAAAAACAAATATAAAGGTTAAATAAGGCCTTTACTGAGGATTAAACCAGAGATTGAAACAATTAATGAGAAACCATGCATTTACTGATTACTTCACAGTTAACAGTGAAACTTCAACAATTGAGTGCATTCACATGTTTTTGAGTGTGTTTGAATGCTGCCGTTAGGTCGTCTCTGCTTCTTTATAAAAGATATATAGATACATTGTATTAGAGTGCGGTGGCGGTATCGGATAGGTCTATTAGGGTGCGGTGGCGGTATTGGATACTTAATACACTTTTCTAATATGCGGATATGGCTCGAACATGTGTGGATACGGGTACGGCTAGAAGTATTCTGAATGGTAAATATTTTGTTTTCTGGTCGGACACGGCTGAGACACATGGTGGCAATGATACGTTTTGGATACTTTCAGGATTAGTCGGGTTGATTTTATAATTATTTGAAGGGAAAAAAAAATTCAATGCAATCTAAAATATATGTTGTGTTAATTAGAAAAACAATATAAAATTTAAGAAAACAAAAATAACGTGTAGATCTAAATTTCAAATTAGTGAGTTATTTATGACTATATGGATAAAATGGCAAAAATATATATTACTTATATCTTCTTCTTCTGTTTTTTTTTTTTTCTTTTTTTTTTTTATTGTTGTATCCTGATGTCGGAGGTGGTGGTGGTGGTGTGATTGGGTTGTTAAGTGGTGATGACTGATATAGTGTATTGTATTTGGTATCTCAAAACAGAGAGGAGTAAAATATCGACTTCACTGCTTCACACCGACCTGCAACGGAGTTGATATGGTGGTATACACTCTTTTCCGGGAGCCAATCTTGATTCATCGAGAGTTGTGATTATGTTTTTTATTAACAGGAACAAACCAACTACAAAGGAAAAGAAGCATCAACGAATAGAGCATGTATCTGAGAGATGGAATAACAGACCACTCAAAGATAGATGACTTAAAGACCTGAAACAATGGTTAGCGATGAGAATTTACTTTTTATAACATAAAGATTTCATCATAGGAAAAATGATTCAGATAATACAAAACAACAAAAGAGAAACCAAATGAGATGTTTTCAACAGAGGAAAAATGATTGAACAACACTGGGTAAATACAAGCAAGCCATATTGTTTTCTATCATAGGAAAAATGATTCAACAAGCGGAGTAAAACAAACCATAGATGGCTAATACAAGCAAGCCATGTTGTTTTCATTTATTCAACAAGCTGAGTGAACAAACCATAGAGTGCGAAAGAAAGAGTCCCTGCGAAACTTCCAATAGACAGCAGTCTTCCAGAACCTGCCATTTGCACCCGTGCTAAGATTAAGAATGATGGCAACTATATCCAGATTAATGGCAAATATAAACCCAGGAAATAAAAATAAAAATAAAAAGACACAGCAACACAAGCAGGAAATTATGTGTACCTCAGTGACATGATATCCCAATGGATCCGAATCGAAGGGCTTCACAATTTCCTACCCCGTGAAATCCACCAAAAAAATCCATGGGCAGCATGGTCTTCAAGAAGCTGCCATTGCCACCACCCCTCTCGTGATCCAGGTTCATGGTAAGTATGTCCGGCCCAAAATCAAATTCCCTCTTCACAATATTGAGAATCTCCTCGTCGGAAATGGTGCCAGTCCCGTATGTGTCTACAGAAACAGACAAAGGTTCGGGAGCACCGATATCATCATAAACATCCACGCTGCTCCTGATTTGCGAAGTCACCACGCAACCACGACCTTCTTTCCATCGATTTGGAAACATTTTAGGCTAAATCATACACAATCAATCATTTATATATGTTTCTTTCTTTCGTTCAGATTGTGAAAGTGCTAACTCCACTCCATATTCTTCTTACGCAAGCAAGCCTAGGCTTTGTTTTAATTCCTTCGTTTTTAGGAGTGTAAAGAGAATTAGAATTGGATTAGGAAAGAGTTAGAATTGAACTAAATAAATCCCGAGTAGAATAGGATTATTATTTTAATTGGTAACTTATTTAGTTGACCCTCTTGTTATATATGTATATATAGTCAGAAAGAAGAGCGCTCATCAAGCCAACTTTTCCCCTTCCTGCATGAATCCTTCTACCGCTGAGAAAAGCGAAGCCATGATAAAACGAGTGAATCCTTGTGCTGCTGACAAGAGCGAAGCCATGATAAAACGAAGAAGAATGCGAAGAAATTCATATGGTGACACGCCATATGAAATCATACACATTATACTCTTGAGACTACCCGTCAAGTCTGTGTTGCGATTCAGGTGCGTTAGTAAATCATGGCTTGATGCAATTTCCGATCCCCAATTCGCGAGATCACGTCTCAATGAATCAATTAAGTTTGACCGTCAAAGTATCATCCGCTGGGGCTACAACGGACGTAATCACAAAAATTTCGACTCCATAGCCTATGACTGCAGTGATAATTCACAGCAAAAACTATGCTTTCCATTTAAGAAGTATAGGAAAGCTGCTGTATTGAGTTGTTCTTGTAATGGTTTAGTACTGTTGTTTCTGGACGACATATGTGTACTGTGGAATCCATCCACTGGAGCATACAAGAGGTTCTCACGTCCTCCTAAATATCACAATTATCCACCACGTGGATTTTGCTATGATTCTTTCCTGGATGATTACAAGGTGCTGTTTTTCCGTGCAAGAGATTTTGTGGTTTACAGTTTCAGAAGTCAATCCTGGACAGAGGCTAAGCACTTCCCTTATTTGGGTTATCGCAGTGGTTCTGGCGTTATTGTCAATGGAGTGTTACACATGGTTGCTTATAAAGACTTGATCAATAATAATGATAATAGAGAGTCGTCGACCTCTGCTAGAGTTGGACCTCCCTCTCCCGGTAGATTGGGCATGGTTGGAACCTCTGATCCACCAACTTTTATGTTCGGTGATTCCTACAAAGAACATCTCCTCGTTTCTTGCAATGCAAAACCCGTTACAAACCAATCTAAGAAGCAATATGGGTGTGTGATTGTTTACTTTGACACGGTGGATCACAAGTTCATGGAGATGCCATCACCAAATTGTATAAATGATGGAGATATGTTTGATTTGACGGTTTTGAAGGGATGCCTCAGTTTATATTTTAGTACCAGTGATATGAACTATTTTGAGGTGTGGACTATGGAGCAATATGGTGAGCATCATTCTTGGACCAAGTTAATTGTCATCCCACACTGGATACGTGAGAGACATATAAGTTCTTTGAAGCTATTGTGTGTTACCAAGGAAGGTAAAATTGTGATGATACTTGATGACAAAAAACTATTCATCTATAATCCTAAAAACAACACGTGCACTCCTCTTGGACAAACAGAGGTTGACGCTAGGCTACGGGCAGTTTCTATTGTGGATAGTTTGGTTTTTCCCATTCCAACACCTCAAGGAAAAGGAAAGAGTTAAAAACCTACAATTGTAAGGAAGTCCATCAAATAATTTCTATTTTTCTAGTTTGTAAGTTAATTCATGTCTTATGATTGTTATGTTTGATATTAGATATTGAAAGAAATATAAATTGTTCCTTTTGTATGGAAAAAAATGGCGTAATTGTTCTGTTTTGTTTTTGTTGTGTTAATTAATTACCATAATTAGAATGTATATTCCCAAACTTCATAATAATCAGCATCAAGGTACATAACAGTAACGCATTAGAGAATCGCACACTCTCAACGATTAATCATCATTGAAGCTCTCCACGAACTCAAAATATTCCGTTACAATTCTTTGTTCGACATAAGCAAGGCTACAAACATAATTGATGACAACTTGGATCCGCTACTGCCAACAATGAAACTGTAAGCTCCATCTGCCGTAGGTTGTGGACAACATGAAAGAATCATGCAAATTGATCTTGCAATTTTGCATAGAGCACTACCAGGAACAAGAACCGAATTTGAAGACGCCACAAATCTCAACAATAAGCAAAGTTTATCGTCACCATGTCTATTTCAGTATGACGCACCATAAAGCACCAAAGTTCCATAACAATCTCCCAGCAAAGGAAGTGAGGATGCAAGAAGTTTTCGAGCAAAAAGGATTCCATTTCACCCCAAGCTGGACTGGAATTGACTACAATCACTTACGTTTTCAGTGCATGCAGAATGTTAGAAAACATAGGCTCATAAGCTAATTCCGGGGTTTTATTAGAACCATATAATATAGGAACTCGCAAAGCAAGGACGGAAGAATACACCTCCTCGTCGATTAAAACATTAAAAAGCCATCTAAGCTTTCTAGTGATCCCTAGTATTACATCTTCTTCAAGATCAGCAGCACTTTTCAAAAAACTAAGAAATAAAGCAACCCGACCAAGCAATAATATTCTTGCTCCATGCATAGCATTACAATTAAAAGATAGATTGAAGTAGTCCTATAGTTACCATTCTGACCTCCAGGGATAATCATTAAATCACTCTCATCAATGAACAACCAGTCCAGAATTTGGAACTTGTGTTCCTGTTTCACTTGAGCTGAATTTAATAAAGAATTCAGTAAATGTAACGCTGTTGGCTCTAGAAGTTCTCCCAACAATTCACTAGCCGATTTCAGGAGTTCCCCTTCACTCACTCAGATTCTGAAAGTTGAGATCGTCAGGACACAGTGTTATTTTTGTTTTTTTAAATTTTATGTTGTTCTTCTAATTAACACAATATATTTTAGATTGTATTAAATTTCATTTTTTTTTTTTAAATAATTACAAAATCAACATCCTGAAAGTGTCCAAAACGTATCATTGCCGTATCCATGTCGTGTCTCAACCGTGTCTGACCAGAAAATAAAATATTTACTATTCAGAATACTTCTAGCCGTATCCAATACGTGTCCGAGCCATATCCGCATATTATAAAAGTTTCCAAGTATCCGATACCGCCACGGCACTCTAACAGAAGTATCTGGGCTTCCTAGACTGCATCTACATATCTTTTATAAAGAAGCAGAGACCTAAGGCAGCTTTCTGACACACTCAAAAACATGTGAATGCACTCAATTATTGAAGTTTCACTATTAATTGTGAAGTCATCAGCAAATGCATTGTTCTTATTAATTGTTTCAATCTCTGGTTTAGTAAAGGCCTTCTTTAACCTTTATATTTGTTTTTAATTATTCTTTCGACCTTATCATACAAGGAACATCTCCAACACCGAAAGCAGGAAAATTATAATACAATGAACATCTCTGACACCGAAAAGGAGGAAATGAATACTTATTCTCAAGACAAACAACGATAACTGGAGGATAAATCATTCAAACGCTTAATAATTTAGGCTTTCGCTCTGCCTTTAATTACACATACCGCAAGCTGATTGTTCATTGTTGTAATTTGCTGCTACATGGTACCTCAATGAATCTCTCTCCATGACAAGTCTTTACACCCTAGGAACACACAAAATGACCAAGAAGAAAAGAAACACTTCCAATAAGAAACCCACATAGGTGGGACTAATAATGGGTGACGGACCTTTTTCTTTTCAACCCAAAAACATGCACATTTCCAAAAAGCACAGTACTACAACTTAAGAAGACTGCACATAAGCAAACGAACAATTCCAGTTGCACCCTTTAAATATAGAGCAAGTATATTGATGACCTGTGTAAGAAGGAAGAGAGCTTCAACAGTATCCTACAATGGTTCAGTTATATAGTAGCCAACGTACAGACTAAACTTTGTAAAAGTTTATGTAACAAGACCTCGTTACCGACAGTTGAACTTATCGCAAGCAGGACTTTAAAGCACAGGATCATTGGAAAAAGGAGTACCAAAATGTAAAACACTATAGCATGATCCATCAATGGTGCCAGAACTCCTTGTTGCAGCTTCCCGGGCTATAGTGGGTATCACGGTGCCACCAGAATCACCATAAAGTATAAACAAACTAATTGTATCTTTCATATTTAGCATACCAGTCTCAGCTTTCAGCTACTAAGGTCATCCTTTGGATTTTGGCCTAGCGTATCCCAGATTGATTAGTTTTTCCACCAGCTTTTTCTCGGCATCCGCCTGAAAACCACCATAAGGAAAAAAGAGGCCAGACAATGTATTACAGCCAGGAACAAGAACATCCAACACGCTAAATTATGCATGCACCCAAACAAGTCTGATTGATGAAATCCACAATATCAAGGCAGTTTGTTAATAGCTAAACAACACAAAATATGGAATAAATAGAACTTACGAAAAAAAATATTTATGTAAATGTATATTGTTCATTTACGCATTGAGAGAGATAGATTAAACCTCAAGTATGGGGCTGTTTTTTGGAATGTTGCAAGCCAATATGACATTTAGACCAGTCTTCAAAACTGTGAGGACAGTTGCATGTCAGCCCATGGGCCCAAATAACATATTGTGATAGTAATTAATGCATATCACAATTCACCTAATCAACGAGCAATGCCAGATCCTGTATTATCAGAAGCTCCCCCAATTATGGAAGTAACACTAACTGTGTTTTTCTGTGCATAACCATTAAACTATAAGATGATGATGACTAATAAAATAACAATGACAGATGATTTCAACATTTGTAAGCAAGTACGGCAAGATTATCAACACATGGAGTTATTTATAATTCCCTCTCTAAATTATCAAAATTGAACTTTAGATATTGAATCTTTTGCTGAAATAATAGAAAATCTTATCCCAAAGAATCAACAATGAATGGCAGAAAAAATAGGAAGACCGGCATGATGTAGAAATTGCCAACTTACAGGTCTTGCCGGCAGAGCTGCATATAAATTTCCGAATTTGGCTGAGTTGCAACCGATCCATGCATATATCTACAAAAACAGCATAGTAAATAGAACCACCAGAGAGAAGAAAGCTAAAGAACGGACTAGAAAGTCCTTTTTTTAATCTGTGTTCAGAAGCATTGAGTAGTTTCCCATTTTCCTTTTTACTGAGTAATACTTTGTATCAGTTATGATATCATAGCAAGTAAAAAACAAAATGGTAAATAAATACAGTAATAAAAAATATATATATATTAGAAAACTGTGAGTTCTAATGTGCATCATGCTGATTTCTTTTGTTTGCACAAAGTTAGTTGCATTTAAAACAAATGCCTAATGTTCAGGGTGCCACGAGCGTTCTGAAAGTGACTTTTGACACACACACACCCAAAAAAATTGACAAGTTAAAGTTTATGTAACAAGACCTTGTTACCAACAGTTGTACTTATCGCGAGCAGGACTTTAAAGCACGGGATCATTGGAAAAAGGAGTACCAGAATGTAAAACACTATAGCATGATCCATCAATGGTGCCATAACTCCTTGTTGCAGCTTCCCGGGCTATAGTGGGTATCACAGTGCCAGCAGAATCACTATAAAGTATAAACAAACTAATTGTATCTTTCATATTTAGCATACCAGTCTAAGCTTTCAGCTACTTTCATCCTTTGGATTTTGACCTAGCGTATCCCAGATTGATTAGTTTTTCCACCAGCTTTTTCTCGGCATCTGCCTGAAAACCACCATAAGGAAAAAAGAGGCCAGACAAGGTATTACAGCCAGGAACAAGAACATCCAACACGCTAAATTACGCATGCACCCAAACAAGGCTGATTGATGAAATCCACAATATCAAGTCAGTTTGTTAATAGCTAAACATCACAAAATATGGAATAAATAGAACTTAAGAAATAAAATATTCATGTAAATGTATATTGTTCATATAAACATTGAGAGAGAGAGAGATTAAACCACACGCATGGGGCTGTTTTTTGGAATGTTGCAAGCCAATATGACATTTAGACCAGTCTTCAAAACTGTGAGTACAGTTGCATGTCAGCCCATGAACCCAAATAAAATATTGTGATAGTAATTAATGCGTATCACAATTTACCTAATCGACGAGCAATGCCAGATCCTGTATTATCAGAAGCTCCCCCAATTATGGAAGTAACACTAACTGTGTTTTTCTGCGCATAACCATTAAACTATAAGATGATGATGACTAATAAAATAACAATGACAGATGATTTGAATATTTGTAAGCAAGTATAGCAAGACTATCAACACATGGAGTTATTTATAATTCCCTCTCTAAATTATCAAAATTGAACTTTAGATATTGAATCTTTTGCTGAAATAATAGAAAATCTTATCCCAAAGAATCAACAATGAATGGCAGAAAAAATAGGAAGACCGGCATGATGTCGAAATTGTCAACTTACAGGTCTTGCCGGCAGAGCTGTATATAAATTTCCGAATTTGGCTGAGTTGCAACCGATCCATGCATATATCTACAAAAACAGCATAGTAAATAGAACCACCAGAGAGAAGAAAGCTAAAGAACGGACTAGAAAGTCTTTTTTTTAATCTGTGTTCAGAAGCATTGAGTAGTTTCCCATTTTCCTTTTTACGACTGAGTAATACTTTGTATCAGTTATGATATCATAGCAAGTAAAAAACAAAATGGTAAATAAATACAGTAAAAAAAAATAAAATTATATATTAGAAATTGTGAGTTCTAATGTGCATCATGCTGATTTCTTTTGTTTGCACAAGTTAGTTGCATTTAAAACAAATGCCTAATGTTCAGGGTGCCACGAGCATTCTGAAAGTGACTTTTGACACACACACACAAAAATAAAAATTGCCAAGTTAAAGTGACTTTTGACATGGTATCCTCAGAATAAGTGATTTTTCATATAGTGTCAACAGAATCATCTCCCACAGTCCAGAACACAGTTCCTGCCAGCATCAAGCAATATCTAGACACTTCGAATTTTAATAATCTCTCGGAAAAATGAAGTCAATTCAATTTGGCAACATTAACATAAAATCAAAAGCAAAAATCTAGAGCTTGAGAATCAATTTCACTTGATTCTTTATCTACTGTAAGCACATTGACAGTCCAAATCTAAAAAGATTGGTTAAAGTATATAATAATCCAGTGACAAAGTATGATAAATGCAAATTCACATAGGAAATAAAAGCTGCATATCATCTACATAATCACATAATCTCTAGTGGCTGACACAAAAACAGAAACACAAATTTGAACCTCAAATGATGACTACTTATATTGGGTAATTTTACTGCATCTGAACAATGCTTCGCATACACCACATCAATAATCTGTGTTTATCTGAAAGTAAATTACAACAACCCTCAGCAATTAAAATCAAGTAACAATAAGAGTGTTCCAACAATTGTGAAATGGGGTATCAAGTAAATTGCTTGAATCCGAATATAAACCAGAAAAAATCATTGAATAATCAAATTAATGGTTGTATAAGTGATGACACTGCAAACAAGTCATGAAAGGAAGGTTCGATGACGAAAACCAACCTGTTTTTGAAGACGTATGATCTGAAAGTGGAGAGTAACATTATCCGACGCTTCGGAAAAGCAGTTGATTTGCACACCACCTTCGTCATCTTCCTTGTTACTCTGGGAGCTTCCATTTGAAGATATTCCTCCATCGATTCCCAAACGGTCCATGCCGACAACAACATTAGCCGGCAATTCTTCTTCCTTTGAGGCAGAGCAGCTTGCATCTAACCCTCCCGGTGCCATTTCACGCAACACACACTATATGAGCTTGGAGCTCAACTGGAATGACTATTTAGAGAAATTAGATAATCATATTAGTTATATTAGTTAGATTTTTCATAAGCTAAAACTAAGGACTTACAAATTTAGGGTTAAAATTAAGGCTTACATAAATTATATGTATATATAATTTACTTATTTTTTTACGCAGAGAGTGGAGTGCAGAACAATCTTACCTGTTGAGAGTGATTGATTAAACTGGGAGATTGAATATGGTGGGTTTGCTACAGGGGCGAATGATTTTAGAAAGCTGAGTAAATCAAATTCTTTCCCTGAGAACTTCAAAATGAAAAGTGTAAGATTCAGAAGCTTAATCTCTTCATTTTTCGTACGGTTTTCTCACTAACCAAACAAAACGTATTGAAGAAGCACGCAAAACAGGAATAAAGAAAGAAAGAGAAGAAGAAGAACATACCGATATATGTCTCTCTATCAATCGCTTCACGAACAGAAACCTAGACTTCCTCAAAACCACCGGCTTTCCGGCACCTAGCCGGACACTGTAAGAACAGAGTGAAACAAGAGAATCAGAGGTGAAAGTGAAGATAAAATTGTGTGTGTATTAAATATGTATATGAAAGGTGAGAGTTACTTAACAGTTCATTCTGCTGAGAGCTAGGGTTTCGAATGTCTGTGTGCAGATCGGGAGAGAGATTAGCGAGACTTTGGTAAAGTGAGTCGTCAAAGGGTAATTTGGTCATCTCGAAAAAATTCATTACTTTGTAATAACCTTTTTAAGAGATTCCATTTCTCTGAAAATATGGAACTTAGATTCCACTGGTTTGTAAGTTGACCACAAAAAGTCTTTTTTTTTTTTTTTGAAATAATTTTCCCTTGATATCACCCAAGCATCTTTCGAGTTTAAATACTGATATTACAATCTCGATTTAATCTACTTACACATTTATAAATCTCGATTTAATCTACTTACACATTTATACAACGTTTATACAACGTGTAACTAGTTATATGTTTATACGTGTAAATATTGATATATGTATATATAAATTTGCCGAATTCTCGTATTGTGAGTGTGCGGGTGGTGGTGATAGTTGGGTTTAATAATGAGAGTATAATAATAATTTAATTAACTTGATATTTAAGAATAAATGAGATTAAAAAATTAGGGACAAAGTTGCTTTTTTATTATTATTATTTTTTTAATTAATGAAGATTATGATGGAAAAGTAAAAATGGACTTAAGTGATAATTATTTTCGAAAGATATTTGAGAGTGATATTTGACCAAACTTGGGGGGTGCCAATGAAATTAATCCAAATATATATTTAATATTGTTAGGAGCTTGTTTTCTTGTTATAAGTGTCCATTAATATATTAATATTTAATACTTTAGTAATTTAAAGTTGGGCCAACTTTTTTATTAGCCTAATTTGATAACATTGAGCTAGTTTGTTTTTATTTATTTATTTTTTTTATTTTTAACTTTACATAATAATAAAAGTGGCATAAACCGCTCCACCTATCAATTAGACGAAGTACATGGGAGCGGAGTTAGTATTTTATCTACTGGAGTATGGATGGGGATGATATACTAATTAGAAATTTATTCCGAAATAGGAGCGGAGTTGGTAAGATGAAAATTCTAACGGGGCAGAGTAGGGTTAAGCCAAACCTGTCCCAACTCCGCCTCGTTGTCATCCCTACTTCCATCAAACATAGCTAAGCGAAATCTAGGGTGAGGTTGGAGTGAAGTCCGGTCCGTCCTGAGTAGCAAATTAATATTTTCTTACTTCTGTAAGTACATTATTTCTTTATATATTCCCATTGCTTAATTAGTTGTTGATAGTTTGTACTTCCTCTATTCCAAAATTCTTGACCTATTTGGGGATCCAACTTTTTATGAATAATAAAATAAAATAAAATTTATAGCCAATTTTAACCCAGCCAAAAAAAAAAAGTATTTGGCACAATTTTTAATTATTAATTATAGGCAATTTTATTTGGCCACCTCTATTGATAATTCCTAAATTCGCCCTTTATAATACTCTATAAATAGTGCACTTATTTAGTCAAAAAGATAATTTGATAATGTTATAAAAAATAGAACATTCATTTTTTTTAATGTAACATGTATTTTGGGCCATTTCAAAATAGACTAATGGACAAGTATTTTGAAACGGAAGGAGTATTTTATTTGCCTTTCCATTTTCTACAATTTATATATATATATATATATATATATATATATATATATATATATATATATATCTATATTGCACTACAATTTATATCAAAGAGTACTAAAACTGCTCTTAAGGATATTAATTTTCATCAATGAATTTTTACTTTCTTACATTTTCTAATGCTAATGTTTTGCTCCTTTTTTCAATAATCAATCTACATATCCTTGGGACTATGAGTATCTTATTTGTTCATTTATTTTTGCAGCTGAATTTAGTTTTCATTTGTGTTACCATTTTTCATTACAACAAATTCAGATTCAAACGGGCTATCTTCCAACGTGAACTCAACGACAGTGAAGTATGATATGATGTTGTTTTTCAAGAAAAGAGTGCGGATAATCTTACTAACAGTGCGAGACCCGTTGGACGATTTTCACTCTCTCTAGTGTACCTAGTCACTAACTCTATAAAATAATTTAATGAAAGAGTGTGAATTCGATGCAAGAAAATAAGAAAATTTAGTCCCCATACCTCAGGAAAATGAATTGAATAATAGGTAATACTTTTTCACATGAATCATGTATTTAATTTCATTTGGCCTTCCAAGTCTTCAACTAAGCTTACGGGTCCAAGTGACTCTCAGTCAACCGTTCGTGTGGCTTTGGTCAAAATAAGGTTTCAAAGACTCTAACTAAACCTGAAGAAAATTTTCATATTGCCAGGGATAATCCAATTTCAAATAAGACGATCTGAGTTATGTATATTATGATTAGTTGTATCGATCAATACGCAACGTATTGGCCGGTTTCGTAATATTTTTTAAAGGTGCGATATTATTACACTCTCATAAATCAGCTGATTAGACTGGTTTATATTTCGTTAGAGTCCGTTACACCTTGACTATTACTATTATCGTAACTAATATTGCGACTACGAACCATGATATATATATATATAGGTGATTGGATAAATGGATGGCCTAATATTCTTTAAAATGATTTGGAAATTTTGAAACACATAAATATGTCGAAATAATTAGGAGTCCGAGTCATCCCGTTAACTAGAAAATAAGAAAGTATTTTTTTATAGATGGTTTTAACACATATAACGAAAACTTGTAAATGGGCAAATACGACCGAAAAGACTAATTTTTATGAAGAGTACCAAGAAATGATGAAGGTGACTAAATAAAAAGAAATGATAGGCGACTTCAAAAATAAAGTTGAACACAATATGTGAAATAAAGTGTTATATAAACAAATGAAAATAGAGCGTTGAGGAGGCCCGAGATGACATGGGCCGGATATGACTTGCAAACGCGACATTCAGCCCGTACAGATGGGTCAGGCCCATAGAAAGACACTGCAATATGGGCCGAACGCGCATAAGCCCATCAAAGATGACCAGGACTCATGGAGGAACGGGCCTAGATCCAGCAATCCATCAACATTTGTAAATATCTATAAATAGGAGAAGTAATGGAAAGAAAAGGGAGAGATATTCTTTTGGTTGAAATACAAGAATTCTAGAGAGAGAAAGAAGGAGGGAATTTCTTGTATCTTCAATTGGCGCCGTCTGTGGGAACGCATGGAAGATTGGTTAATCAATGATTAATATCGCGTGGATTCAGACCAATTCGGTTGATCAAGTCTCGATCTTTGGGAGTTGGATCCAGATCTGAGCGATTGTGACCTACTCTGGAGGAATTTTAGTTCCTGAAGCTTTGGCAGAAGTGGCTTTAGATCTACGCAACAACGAGTTGTTCGATTGTGGCAGGATCTGACGGATTTAGAATTTGGACAATTCAGATCTCGTCAACCGTGAGCATAATTCGGAGAATTCGAAACCAGATCTGAAAAATTCCCACTCACGAAGCTCAGATCTACTCGCGAACTTGAGATTAATGCCTTTACTCCGTTCAGGAATAATGATAGGTGAAAGCTCCAATCCGATGGAAGCTGTCCAGCAAACAAAGCTTGAGGAGTTGATGAACTTGATCGAGGCTCTCAAAAAAGAGAATGCAGAATTGAAAGCTGGAATGCAACATCAGCAAATGCCCGCGGTTTCGCGTCCACCTCCGGCCGGAGAAGGAGGTGTTCAATCTAATATCGCGCATTAAGGCGAGCAGGACGAGAACAGTCAGTCAACTCTCCACCGTGATTTGCCGCCAAATGCTCGTCGAGTTAAGGATCACGAAGGATCGACTCACGTTGATCCGCGACATGAGCAGATCAGACAGAATGAAGCCATGACCTTAGATCCGCATCGGGAAAGGTTCAACCGAGAGGAGGTGATAGAGGTTGATCGCCGCCAAGTTGCGTCGCCTTGGCAAAGAGAGCTCATAGAGGAACGGTCGTTCGATCCGTCCTACCGGCCTTCCATGGCTACAATCACTTATCGCGGTTCGGAGAGCAGAACCGTAGCCCACAGAGCTACCACTGGGCGCCAAAGAGAGAATGAAGCGCTCCGATCCGCAGCTCGAATGGTTGATTCACCATTCACTGACGAGATCCTGAATGCCCCTCATCCAAGGAAGTTTGCTATGCCAGTATTTATTCTGTTTGACGGAACAACCGATCCGATCGATCATGTGTACCATATCCAGTTGAAGATGGCCCTGAATACGGAAAACGATGTTTTAATGTGCAAATGTTTCCCTACAAGCCTAGCTGGATCGACGCTCAGCTGGTTCAAGAACTTGCCTAAGAGCTCCATTGGTAGCTTCCAAGATCTGTGCGATCGGTTCATAAGTCAGTACTATAGGAACAAGCGTCCGCCAAAGGACATCTCAAGCCTATTCACAATGAGACAGCACAAAGATGAACGTCTCCAGGCTTTTCTCACCAGGTTTAATCTCACTAAGAGTATGGTGATCGAATGCCACCCTTCTACAGTGGTTCAAGCCTTCAAGTTAGCCATGACACGTGGCACTCCGTTCCATACCAGTCTGGTAGTGAACACGCTGACGACTATAGATGAACTTAATGAAAGAGCCGACGGCTTTGTGCGCCTAGAAGAAGAGGAGGCAGCCAATGCTCAGACAGCGTCGTTCGTGTCGACCGAGGAAAAGTCCAAGGCAAAGATCAGGCAGAAGCAGGCTCAGCCGCAGCGTCAGACCTCCTAGAAGGCAGAAAAGAGGTCCAGGGAGGAAGAGCTGATCACTCCGCTGAAGGTCACTCTGGCGAGGCTATATCAGGAGAACAAAGATAAGTTTCATCCACCACTGCCAATTAGGCAACCCCTCGAACAGAGGGATCAGACTAAACATTGTGCTTTCCATTCCGATTTCGGTCATCAGACTAATGAATGCAGGAATTTGAGAAGGCAAGTGGAGATGTTGATAGCTAGAGGGAAGTTCGCGAGTTACGTTCAAGGCTCGGCGACAGAGCAGAATCGACCGATGGAACAAGTAAAAATGAGCCATAAACAAAGCTCCCACAATTCACAACCAGTTCGTATAATCAATGCTATCCACGGTCGACCCGAGCCCAGCGAAGATTCAGATGAGCTGCTCCGACCGCGCTTACGGCAGGCG